AAGGTCGCTGATGTAACTTTTTTATCAATAGCCATGTTTTGTCCTACGTGTTATTTAGGTGTAGGAAGATCATTTCATGAATCTATGATGCCATTATTAATTACCTTTGGAATATCTATTTCTACATCCATTATTATCCTTTCGTCCTTATTAGCATAGCCATCACTCGTATATTAATAAAAAGAAATAGAAAAAATAGAAAGAGAGAGAATGCGGTCAAGACCAAATATAGTAATCAAGAAAGCTTTCCCTTTTTTTCTGTTAGTTGATATATGAATTTTGTATTGTGAATCAAACGTTCATCTAAAGAAATAATAAAGCATATACAAGACAAAATAAAGCTCTTTTTGATGGATTTGACAAGAGAGTAATTAATATATTCATCATAGTGCCAAGCATGTGTTTTATTTAGTGCTTTTCTGTATTTAAAAAATGGACAAAAGGGATCTACAAAAGAGCGGGAATTTCAGTTATGTGTATTACGAAAATTTTGGTTCCTGCAAAATAACTATAAATAGGCTCTTACCTTTCATCTTTTTCTTTCTCTTCTTTCTTTGGTATTCTTTGTTCAATTTAATAAATATGAAGGCACTTATTCTTGTTGGAGGTAAGTTATGACTGGAGGATTAAAGAAAAGAAAGGGAGTTACTTAGTCATTCTAGGTTTTGGTACTCGTCTTAGACCCCTCACGCTTACTCTTCCTAAGCCACTTGTCGAGTTTGCCAATAAGCCCATGATCTTGCATCAAATCGAAAACTTGGCCAAGGTAAGAAATAACGAGCATTTTTTTTATTGCATCTAATGGTGATATAGGCTGGTGTAACAGACATCGTATTAGCTGTCAATTATCGTCCTGAGATCATGGTGGCTGCCTTGAAGGAATATGAAAAGCAATATAATGTCAAAATTACATTTTCTGTCGAGACAGAACCTCTTGGTACAGCAGGTCCACTTGCTTTAGCTAGAGAAATCCTTGCCAAAGATGATTCACCCTTCTTTGTACTCAACAGTGACGTGATTTGTGATTATCCTTTTGAACAATTACGTGACTTCCACTTGGCACATGGCGGTGAAGGTACAATTGCTGTAACAAAGGTCGATGATCCTTCCAAGTATGGTGTCGTCGTCAACCGTCCAAATTCTTCATTGATTGAACGATTCGTTGAAAAACCCAAGGAATTTATTTCCAACAAGATTAATGCTGGCATGTACATCTTGTCCCCTGCTGTTTTGGATAGAATTGAGGTAAGTTAGTTTTGTGATTGGAACGTGTTGCGGGAGATTGACAGAAATTCTATAGCTGAGACCTACATCGATTGAAAAAGAAGTATTTCCCTATGTAGCTGAAGAAGGTCAACTTCACACATTTGACCTCGAAGGCTTCTGGATGGATGTTGGACAACCCAAGGACTTCCTGACTGGCACCTGTCTATACTTATCTCATTTGGCCAAGAAGCAACCCGAGTCTCTTGCGAACGGTCCATACATTCATAAGGGCAACGTCATGGTTCATCCTACTGCAAAGATCGGAAAGGATTGTCGAATTGGCCCGAACGTAGTCATTGGTCCTAATGTCGTCATAGGCGATGGCGTTCGTCTTCAACGCTGTGTTATTTTGGAAGGCGTACAAGTCAAGGACTTTGCCTGGATTAACTCAAGCATTATCGGATGGCATTCTTCTGTCGGACGCTGGTCACGTATCGAAGGCTGCTCTGTCTTGGGTGATGACGTTACAGTAAATGATGAAATATACATTAACGGAGGTTCCATCTTGCCTCATAAGGGAATCTCTTCCAACATTACAGAACCTCAAATTATCATGTAAATCCTTTCTTTTTTTTTTGTTCATTCAACCGATATTCAACTATATCACATAAATCTCATTTCAAGCTATTCCCCCACCCCTTCAAAGCCCCTTTTAATTCCTTATATCAGCACGGCAACATATAATAATAAACTTGATTCTTTAATGCTTACATTTCATCATTTTGTACTGTAAATTCAACCTTATTTTAAAGGAACTTATGTGGTCATTTTGTAAATAGCTTGTTCTATTTAATGAATTTGCAGTAATCCATTTCGTCTGGAATTGCAATAATAACCAAAGAAAACATTCCTTGAAGCATGTATCTTCTAAAACGTATTATATGCAGGTACTTGCTTATGTAAGAATTTCAGAGTCCAAAAGTGGGATGAATGCTTTGTTATCCTTTAACCTATTCCAGCAAATAAACAACCCTCAGTGGAAAAAAAGACACATGTGATGTAAAACTACAAGGGCGCCCTAGACGCTCTAAGACCGACATCAGATACATGTATTACATCTATTGAATACCTTATTAAAGATAAATATTTGGCTTCCACGAGTTGAAGCTCCATCTTTGTAAGGTTTTAAATGAAGACAAATTAATTAATATTCGGAATAAACCAGAGTCAGTTAAGATTTGGATCTAGTTACAAGCATTAAAATTCAACAAACTTTATTTGATTTGTCGTAGACCGAGAAGGAGTGGAAGTCTGAGGAGATGTGACAGTCTTAGATTGCATGAGAAAGAAGTTAGGCTGAGTGTGATCATTTTCGTCATCACTAACTTCATCAATCACAATAGGGTTTACAACACTATTAGTTTTCTTTTCCTTGGCTACTGGACCCGAAACAGGGAAAGGAGGTACCTGTGAGACAGGCTGTGAGGCAGTTTGTGTGGCAACCCGAAAGATAGGTTGTGATGCAGACTGAGAGGCAGACTGAGATGCAGGTTGGGCAATAGAAGGAGGATTAGCTTTAGCGTTAGTAAAAATTTGTGGAAAAGCTTCAGCGAGAGATTGAGCACCTATAGAGGCAGCTTGATGTCGTTGCGGCTGAGAGGAAGGTTGTGGCCTAACTGGGGAGACTGGCTGAGATGTAGGGCGAGGAATAGGCTGCAATACAGGTTTTGGAGCAGGTTGGGTGACCTGCCGTTTGACAGCTGCAGAAACTATCTGTGATAAAAATTGCGGAGCAGCCTGAGATAGAAATTGTGATACGACCGAAGAGAGTCTTTGAGGTGAAGCTTGTGATGCAGGCTGCGACACAGGTTTTGGAGCAGATTGGGAAACAGGCTGTGGTATAGGCTGTGGTATAGGCTGCGACACAGGTTGCGACACAGGTTGCGATATAGACCGAGACACAGCTGGAGAGAACGCTTGCGGGACAGGTGCAGGTTGAGAATGCCTGTTTGTGTTGACTCCTTGAGAGAGAGCCTGTTGAAATGCAAGTGTACTTTGTTCTCTATGTATTTTTTCCAAATCACCGTGATTCTTTCCCATAATGATGAGTAGTGGCTCATTGTGAGACTTCCATTGATGGAATTGAGCCATTGCGGCTTCAAATGTACTTTTGAAGGTTACTCGTTTAGCATGGACGTACGAGTTAAGTGCATTTTTCTCTGCTCCTACTTTCTTCCATTCTTCTATCTCAAGATTGATTGCTGTTTCAAACTCTTTGTAAATTGTGGAGCCCAATTGTGTAAGTGAAGCATTGACTGATGTATCATAAACAGATTTTGGAATTTTCTGTTGACCACAATATATGAGATAGTTCTGCACCACTTCACTGTGCTTTACAAAGTAAGATTGTACAACCTCAGAAAGTTGCACAGCATAATTTATATCCACTCTTGGAGGAGTGCCTGGTGTTGGCTGTAGCGATGAGATTTGAAGGAAACGCTGTACTCGTATTTGCTCTTGTCGAATATTTTCCTGTCTTATTTGTTCCATTCGTATTTGCTCCTCTCTCATTCTCTGCTCTTTCCTATCATGCTCTAATTGTTGTCTCATAACTAGCATCTTGGTATATTCATTTTCATCGATAATCTCAAGTTGAGGTTCTGGCTCTGGCTCTGTATTTGGTTGACTCTTTTTGGCTCTTGATTTTCTTGGTTTCTTTAGCTTTACGGGTTCCTCTGGCGGGACAGGATCGGAAACAACCAAACCGCCCAAGGCTTCTGTCTCCATAAGCTCCGTAATTTCTTCATCTTCTCTATCGCTAAACAAGTATTCTGTATCGCTTTCCATTCCCTCATCATCTTTTTTTACTTTCTTTGATTTTTTAGTAGCTGCATCATTAAGCTTCTTTTCGTTATAAGACTTGCGTCATAATAGTTAGTTTTGATCTACACAACGACAGCAAAAAAAGAACTTACCACTTTGGCACGTTTACGTGCACCTCTTCCAAGATTCTGAGCAAGCAGTTTCTTCTCAGCATTTTTACGTTCAATCTCTTTCTGTTTGTTTTGCAAGAACTTTTCCCAAAAATCAGCGCGAGCCGCATCGTCTTCTGGGTCTTCCTGCAAATCTTCCGTGCCACCTTCTGCCTTCCACACTTTGGCAAATGAGAAGCTAAAGTTTTTTCTTTTTTCAGACTCTGCTATTTCTCTTTCCTTTTGTGCTTCCGCTGCTGCTTTATACTGTTCACGATCCAGTAGCTTGTCTATAGCTGCAGAGTCGTACGTGATATCGGCAGAATCTTCAGACTCGAACAGAGCCTGTGCGCCAAATTTTAGAATTGACTCGATATCTTCAATATCGTCCTCTACCGCCGTCATCTTTTCTACTACGACGTGCTCCAAAGCCATCTTTTTCTTGCCTATTTGCAAAATCCGTTCCTCAACGGAGAGTCGTGTCATAAAGCGATAAATCAAGACCATGTTTCTTTGTCCAATACGGTGCGCGCGACTGATAGCCTGCAAATCAGCGTAAGGGTTGAAATCTGAGTCCCAGATGATGACGGTATCAGCCGTGGCCAAGTTTATACCCACACCACCAGCACGCGTAGAGAGCAAAAATACGTCCAAGTTGGAATTGGGCGCATTGAATGCATCAATGTTGCGAACACGTTCTCTTTCGCTGTCTGATCCATCCAAACGAGCAAACGGGATTCCTTCATGTGTCAAGTAGTCGTCAATCACGTCAAGTACACGCGTCATGGTTGAAAACACGAGTACACGGTGTCCTTGAGATCGAAGCTTGGGTAACATCTGGTGAAAGAACTTGAGCTTTTCACAGGCGTCAATCATAGCCTTCTGGGTATCTTCTGGTGTGGACTGAGGTGTCTCAACTCCGTCAATCAAATAGGGATGGTTCAAAACTTTACGCAAGTTCATAAAAATAGATGCAAGTCCTTTGGATCGTTTGTACGCATTAGTGCCCAGGATGCTTTCAATATCTCGACTAAGACATGATTTGTACACTTCCTTTTGTAGAGGGGTCATAGACAAGGGCACAATAATTTCGTACTTGGGGGGTAACGTCTTGAGAATCTCTTCTTTAGTTCGTCTCAAAAAGTAAGGTCTCAGTCGGCCGTGTAGTTCTTCTACTTGTTCGCGTGTCAATTCCTCATAGTTTTCAGCCTGGGTACCTTCGAATTCATCAGGTCGAATAAAGTTCATGATGTTAAACAGTTCCTTCAAGTTGTTTTGTAAAGGAGTGCCTGTCAACAAGACCGAATGATCCTTATTGAATCGACATAGTGATTTAAACAATTGTGATTCATCATTTTTTAAGCGTTGAGACTCATCCACAACCATGACAGGCCAAAAGATATTTTGTAGTTTGGATGATTCTTGGATAGACTCGTAGGTTGCCACAATAGCGTGACACTTCAAGTTCATGTTTTTGTCAAAAATCTCGTTATCTAATGCTAATCTACGGCTTGCACCTAGGCCAAAGAAAGGCACGACAACTAATTCAGGTGTCCATTTTCGGAACTCACGAATCCAGTTGGTGGCTGTACTGTTTGGAACAACAATAATGAATGGGTAAATGTTGTATTTCCTGAAAAGGACATGTAAGAAGGAGACAATTTGAATAGTTTTACCAAGTCCCATATCATCAGCCAGGACACATGATTGCTTCTTTTCCCACTGAAAGAGCAGCCAACTAAAAAGATGAGTAAGCCAATCTTGGTAACTTTATACTTACTTTAAAGCTTCTAATTGATGAGGCATGAGTGTACCTCCATTGATGTATTTGGGTTGGGCCTTGATTTCGTGTGATTCATACTTTTCAGCATTCGCCAGTTTTCTAACATCAGCAATCAACTGCCTCATCTTTTGTGGAGGACGTACTTTGGATGCATTAATATATCGATCCAGCGCCTCTTTGTAAGGCGTGTATAGCTCAGGCTTATCCTCTGAGGGAGGTTCATCCCACATGGCTTAAGAAGAGTGGGGGATTAGACTATGCATAAAGTATATATAATCAAGTAATACCTTCTTCATAATCCATGTCTTTAAACACTGCAAATATCCGTTTCGGCTTCTGGTTTGCTTTATCTTCCCATTCTACATTCAATATTCTTTCCACCATTGTCCATTCCTGGGGGAAATAACGCCCGTTTTTGGTTTGAGTATCCGCTGCCCCGTGTTTTTTTCTAAAATTATTATGCAGCATGGTATGGAGAGAATGTAACCATGTAGCAGGAACCCAATCGAGGTGATTGAAGGATGTATTTTTCCATTTGACGAGCATTTCTTTGTGATTTTTATCATTCGTTCGCTGTGCTAAAATCATATGTGCCTGGCGATTACTGTAGGTAACACAGTCAACACAGATACCATCTTGAAAGACATTCCTATCCGCACAAGCTGGGTGATGGACTCGATAACATGATCCGCATCGTAAGAGAACTTGATCATTATTCTTATCCGCCGCCTTCTCACATGCCATACAATAATCCTTTTTACTTCTACATTTGGTGCAGCTGTAAGTGCCTGTGTCCACATTGAGACCGAGTTTAGGTTTGGTGGGTAAGCAATTGTTGTGACAAGAAAGAGAACACGTACTACACATCAACAGACGTGTTCTGGCGCATTCAGGGCCTGTTGAGATTTCGACGGTATCGTTCTTTGGGCCATTAGGATATCCTGGTTTACGACAACGAAAACAGATGTTGGCGTGTTGATCTATAAAATCGTCAGAGTAGAGTGGAACATGATAAAACTTTTCCTTGCTCTTCTTTTTCGGGTTGAATATGGCATAAAACTCTTTATGAAATGTTTTGGGGGCTATTTGAATTCGACCACTACGGGTGGTTAAAGTGACTGATTCCTCATTGTCGTCGTTACTGTCATTTGATGTGTACTCGTCGTCTGATGATTCGTATCTTTGAACAAGACGCCTTGATCGTCTTTTTTCTTGCTTTATATTTTCTTCTCTCTTTTCTTCTCTTCTAAAAGCATTCAATTCATATTCTTCAATCATGTCATGGTAGAGATCTTGTAAATGACGAGCAGGTATCTTTTAAAAAATGTTAACAAGTACACACAATGTATATATGCGATTGAACATACGATGGCTGTCTGTTTATTTTGAAATTGGACATCATAAGATACTTTTCCTGTGGCTGACACCTGACGTCTGATTATCCTTTGAATTGAAGGTTTGAATTGCCATTTCGGAAGGCTTATTTTTTTAATGGGCTTATATTTTGCTTTGAATTCCTATTAATAAACAAGTTAATGGTATAATTGAACACTTTTTTATCTTGTATTACTCTTTTTGTTAGCATATCTTATGATTTCCCGTCTACGGAGATAAAAAGAGAAAGAAGAACAAGAAGGAAGATAGGCTAGAAAGAAAAAAAAAAGAAGGGGGACGTAAGAAAATTTGCTTGGACTGTAACTGAGCATACTGTTTAGGTCCAAGACTGCGAAAATATGATTTTAATTTCAAATCAAATTAAACAAGGACAGCAATAAACTTGTTAAAGGGCTTAGAGTCATTTAAATGTGTATCTTAAGAGTCTCGAATTAGGGTCAATAAAAGTATTAATTGCATTTATATGCTGTACAACAACATTTCTATTGCCTTTCTTTTTTTTTTTTTTCATTTATTCTTTTGTCTGTTGATGACAAGAAGTTTTATTCTTTGCATAAAATGAACGCGTGTTCCCTAAACTAGCAAGTGTCTACTTACTTGCTAATTGATCCTACGTGCTATACCCAAAATTGGGAATCATTGTACTCAGTATACATTGAGTCTAGATTGTTTGTATTCTGACTCAAAAGAGAAAAAAAAAAAAAAAAAAGAGTATTTGTTTATCTTTACGTTGGATTTGTAATATGACATGACTATAGACCCGTTTCATGGCCTTGTTTATCTGTAAAAAGAGAGATGAAAAATATGTACCCTTTCTATCTTTTATAGTCTATCAAGTTGGAATATATCAGAAAGAAAAGGGGATCTGTTACTATTTTTATTATTTCACAGTAATGATTTTTTTTTATATCTGTCACTTTGACTTGTTTCTTTCATGATTCTCTCTATCTGTCTTTCTTAAATACCTTGTTTTATACAATCAGGAGATATATAAGCTCCTATAACACTCTAGGATAACATTCTTTTTTCTTTTTTTATATATATTCTCTCTTTAACCTATTCTGTCAACATTCATTTCCTAACCTAACTTCAAGAATATATTATTCAACATTTCTTTGTCTTTTTCGCAGTAAATCATTCTGTTAATAAAAAGATTTACAAATAAGGACAAAAGGGGATATTTATAAATAGTCTTTGGTTTCACTAAAAATATTTAAGGAGTTTTTATTTAAAAAGAATAAAAAAAAAATATTTTATATATTCATTTTCTTTTTTTTCTTTTTATTTGCAAGGAAAAAGATTAAAAGGATGCAAGACGATTCACGTATAGATCTGACGTGCTTGCTCACTTCATCTTCGCCTCCTTCCGAAGATAATATCACCCATCTATTGCAAACTCGATTTAAGCGGAATCAGCCCTATACTCGACTAGGACATTCTACCTTAATTGTTGTGAATCCTTATCAACCTTTAGAAATACTAAATGATGTTACATTAAGCACATACGCAGATATTGGTTATAGAAATATTGTCGAGAATAAGCCATTTATGCAACCTCATGTTTATGATTTAGCTACTAGAGTTTATTTTCATATGCGTAGAACAGGTGAAGATCAAAGCATCATCTTGAGGTAAATTACTCATTATCGGGGTTAAGAGAAATAAAGAAAGAAAGAGGGTGAAAAGGGTATCAAAAAAAGGGGGAACAATATTTATTAACTTTTTATTACCTATAAAGTGGTATAACTGGTGCAGGCAAAAGTACAACTCGGTCACATTTGTTGAAGCAACTCTTACTGCTGTCAACTCACTCAAAGAAAGAAACAAAACTTGGATTACAAATTCAGAATGCTCAAATCATATTGGAGGCTTTTGGTCATACAAGGACATCTCAAAATAATTCAGCATCTAAATTTGGTATGTTCCAAGAGTTACAGTTCTCTGAAAGAGGTCGGATCCTCGGTGCCAAAACACTGACCTACGCCTTTGATAAATCAAGAGTGACACAGGTGCCTAAAGATGAACGTACATATAATGTGTTCTATTCTCTTTTGGCTGGTACTAGTGTCGAAGAACAAACCGCACTTCATATCAACTTTCCACCAGAATCATTTCATTATTTATCCCAATCAAAAGTCATCAGACAACCAGAAGATGAAGTCGCTTTTGCTGACCTCAAGAATGCTCTCAAGGTCTGCGGATTTAAAGCGAAAACAGTAACACAAATATTTCAGTTGCTCTCGGCCATTTTGCACATCGGTAACCTTCAATTCCAAGGTGATGACAGCTCACAACAAACTCAGGAGGCTTGTAGTATCCGTAACTATGATACTCTCGAAATGGTCGCTCTCATGCTCGGTGTCTCTCCATCCAAGTTGGAGCAATCCCTGACTTACAAGCTGAGATTGATTCGTAAGGAATTGTGTACCATGTTCTTGAATACCCAGGGTGCGGCAGAACAACGAGATTCTCTCGCCCGCGCTCTTTATCATGTCCTCTTTTTATGGATCGTTGAAGCACTCAACACAAAACTCTGTTATAGCAGCGAACCCGCTAATTTTATCGGCATTCTTGATCAGTTTGGCTTCCAAAACTTCAAGTCGAACGGATTCGAAGAATTCTGTGCCAATTTTGCCAACGAACGTGTGCACCAATTTATCATTGATCAGCGATTCAACAACCAAGTCGGCATCAATGCTCTCATGACCCGAGATGGTGTGCCTTTGCCTTCGATCATCACCATGGATAACTCAGCCTGTCTTGAACTTCTCGTCGGCAAAGAACAGGATCATAACATTAGTAGTCGAGAAAAGACCAAGTCCGCTGCTCTCGGATTAGGTGGTATCGTCGGAGCAATGGACCGGGACTGTGCCAAGTACCAAACAGGCGCAACAGACGCCACAAATGCCAACTTTTTAGCCAACGTTCAACGACTACACAGTGCTCATCCTTCTTTCAGCAAGTCACAACATGCCTATTCCTTTGGCGTCAACCATTTCTCAGGCACAGTGCACTATACCGTCGAATCGTTCCTCGAAAAGAACTTGGATGATCTGTCACCTGACTTTGTCAGCTTACTGCGTGATAACAGCACCAACACTTTTGTCTCAACTTTATTTGAGAGTACAGCCATGGCAACTGAGTCACATCCCAAGGACGACCGAACGATTGTCAAGGCCCAACTGACGTCTAAGCCGACCCGTGCACCAAGCATGAAGAAACCAAAGCGCCGAGATATCATACCCGAAGAAGATCAAAAGGCTATTAAAGACGCTGAAGATGCCTACCAGAACATGCAGGTGACGACAGTGATGGATCAATTGTATATGACCTTGCGTGATTTGTTCTATACCATGGCAGATACTCGCATCTATCAAATTATTCACATTCGTCCCAACGATACCCTATCTCCTGATCTGTTTGATCTCAAGCGTGTCAAAGCCCAAGTTCGTACTTTTCTTCTGTCAGACTTGACTGCCCGTGCTTCGGTCGAGTATGCCAATTACCTGACGTTTAGCGAGTTCCTTGTGCGCTATGAAAGACTGGTTTCCTCCTTGCAGATTGATCATGTCAAATCGGAAAGAGATCAAGTTGAGGATGTACGTGCTATCATGAATTGGAATGAATCGCAAGTATTTATTGGCCATGAGATGATATGGATCGCATATGATACCTGGAAAGAATTAGAAGATGGGCTACGTGCTGCCGAAAAGGAAGAACGTGAACGTGCCAAGGAAGCGAAGCAAGGGATGATGCAGGATGCCCCTGTAATGCCCAGTCAAGGTTACTATCCAGAAAGCCAGGACCGACTCATGCCACCCGCAGCCTACGGAGATCCCAGAGGATATGACGAAGCAAGCTATGTTGACAGTGAGGACGGTATCAAACGTGATATGGAAGGAAGCCAATGGGGTGAAGAATCAGAATGGGGTGGAGTGAAGATATCAGACGGGTAAGTTTTTCAATTCCATCTCAATACTCTCCTTAACCTATATATCCTTTTTATGTGTATTCAGGTTTGGACCAAATATGGACATGAGCAAAATGGTAGAAGATTATCATCAACCCCAACATGAATCAGTAGAGGAAGTGCCTATCACAGCTGTCCGTATCTGGTGGGTTCGTTTTGTCTGGCTTATGACCTTTTGGATCCCATCGCCTTTCCTGAGATGGTTTGGCAAGATGAAGCGTGAAGATGTTCAGATGGCCTGGCGTGAGAAGGTGACACTCTGTATGCTCATCTTCTTCTTTTCAGCCGTTACCATCTTTTTCATTGTCGGCCTGGGTGAAGTTATCTGTCCTGGTACGCAGCACATGTACTCCACCGCTAATGTTGCAGCCCATAACCTTCCGGACGATATGTGGGTTAGTGTACGTGGTACTGTTTACGACATCACCAATTTTGCAAGGACTCAGCACGGTGCTTCTGGTAATATCGCCACCACAGATCTGATGGATCAAATCGGAGGTTACGACATGTCAGATTCCATTCCTCCTCCTTTGACTACTGCCTGTCAAGGCTTAGTTACTTCTTCTACTATTAAAATCACACCAAACGTGACCACAGTAAGGGCCAGCTTTATTCATAACTCTGGTGACCAGAACCCGATACCCACCTTGACCAAGATGTCAAGTCCAACCTGGTACTGGGATTACTTCTTGCCAACCATGTCACTTTACAAGAAGGGTCAGCTCGTGATACCCATCTCCGGCCTTTATTCAGACTACCAATCTTGGAGTCGTCTGGCATTAGCTATCAATGGTAAAGTCTACGATATCACAGACTACATGAGCACTGCCAAGACCTATGATTCTGGATCGACCTCTTCCGCCTATCACTTTTTGCACCCAACTGTTGAAGAAATCTTTACCAAGTTCTCTGGCACAGATGCTACCGACAAGTGGAATCAGTACAAGGCGTCGATGACATCAGAACAACAAGCCCAGAATATGGCCTGTTTAGACAACTACTTTTATATTGGTAATGTTGACGAACGTGATACGCCTCGATGTATGTTTACAAACTACTTCTTGGTTGCTTGTGCTGGTCTTATGGGTCTTGTCATCCTCGTCAAATTCTTGGCTGCACTTCAATTCGGAGGTGCACCTACTCCCGAAGACCACGACAAATTTGTGATCTGCCAGGTGCCATGTTATACCGAAGACGAAGAATCGCTTCGAAAGACTATTGATTCATTAACTGTTATGAACTACGATGACAAGCGTAAGCTTCTATTTATCATTGCTGATGGTATGATTATGGGTAGTGGTAATGATCGACCTACGCCTCGTATTGTACTAGATGTCCTCGGTTATGACACCAAGAACGATCCTGAGCCGCTCATGTTCAAGTCTATTGGTGAAGGATCCAAACAGCTGAACTATGGTAAGGTCTACTCTGGTCTCTACGAATGTGAAGGACATGTCGTACCTTATATCGTGATTGTTAAGGTTGGTAAGGCCTCTGAGCGTGCCAAGCCTGGTAACCGTGGTAAACGTGATTCGCAAATGATCTGTATGAACTTTTTGAACAAGGTCCACTTTGACAGCGAAATGACACCTCTCGAACTGGAAATATACCATCAAATCAAGAATGTCATTGGTGTGAACCCATCATTTTATGAGTACATTCTCATGGTGGACTCAGATACAGAAGTACTCCCAAATGCTCTTAACCATATGATCTCTTGTATGCTTCACGACGGCCGCATAATTGGTCTCTGTGGTGAAACTAAGCTTGTGAACGAAGATAGGTCGTGGACGACTATGATTCAGGTCTACGAATATTATATTTCTCACCACTTAGCCAAAGCATTCGAATCCTTGTTTGGCTCTGTTACCTGTTTGCCCGGTTGTTTCTGTATGTATCGTATTCGTACGCCTGTCAAAAACGAACCTCTTATTATCTCGCCCAAGGTCATTCACGATTACTCTGATAACCATGTTGATACACTTCACAAGAAGAACTTGCTGCACTTGGGTGAGGATCGTTATCTGACAACTCTCATGATGAAGCACTTTCCTCAGTACAAGATGAAGTTTACCCCTCACGCACAATGTAAGACCGTCGCTCCTGATCGATGGAAGGTGCTGTTGTCTCAACGTCGTCGTTGGATTAACTCGACCATTCACAACTTGTTTGAAGTCGTTCTCTTACCTGATCTTTGTGGCTTTTGTTGTTTTTCTATGCGTTTTGTCGTCTTGATCGATTTGATCGGTACTCTCAGTTTACCTGTCTCTGTTGTCTACCTTGTCTATCTCTTGTACGTCATTATATCAAAGACTGGACCATTCCCTATGTTGGCTATTATCATGTTAGCATGTGTCTACGGTCTTCAGGCACTGCTGTTTATCGTTAAGAGACAATGGCAGCACATCGGTTGGATGATATTCTACATCTTGGCTATCCCTGTCTTCTCGTTCTTCTTGCCCATTTATTCCTTCTGGCACTTTGATGACTTCTCTTGGGGTAATACCCGTGTGGTCGTAGGCGACAAGAAACAAAAGAAGATCATTGTGGCTGATGACGAAAAGTTTGATGAAAAGATGATTCCCTTAAAGAAATGGAGCGTGTACGAACAAGAGCTATGGGAAATGGGATCAACTGGCAGCAAAGAGACTCGATTGACTGGACATACATACAAGAGTTACCAGACTCATGGTTCACGAAATAACCCATCAGTCATGTATGACAGTCGAACACAGTACGCGGGCAGCCAAGCAGGTGACTATGATTACTACCGTGATACAACCATGCACGAAAATAAGCGCACACGATCACCCGGATACACTGGTTCTGTCATTGCTGGTTCCGAATATGGCGGGGCTGCTACACACGATTTCATGATGACACCGCCACCGATGCCTAGACAGCAGCAGGCCATGTCTGTTCATAGCTTTGGTCCAGACTATCATGAAATGAATAATACATTTGACGTGCCCATGCGTCCGACAAGCCAATTCTCAATTCCATTGTCACAGGGCGGTATGCTGCCTATGCTACCACCTGGGTTCCCTTCGGATGATGAAATTCTTAGTGAAATAAGAAACATCCTTCAAACAGCAAATTTAATGAGCATCACAAAGAAGCAAGTTCGTGAACAATTAAGTGCATTCTTCGGTTACGATATGACACCAAAGAAAGAATTCATTAATACTAGCATCGAATATATTTTAAAAGGACAACTTTAAATTATATACATTCCCTTCCGTGTAACAAGTTTTCAATATATACATAAACTCTCTCTCTTTCTATTCTTTAAAAGAAAAAAAAAAACAAGCATTTATAATAAACACTACCTTATTAACCATTTGTCTCTGTCTCTTTTTTTTTCTTTTTTACTATTGAACTTCCGAAATAAAAGCGTTATGCCGACTGTATTATTTTCTCTCTTTTTTCTCTCTTTTTATCTTTTGAGATGACTTCAATGCTCAGTTCTGATCAAAAGAGAGACAAGGTAGAGAGCAATGTATTAGCACTTCAATGGGCAGCGCTTACTGGGAATATTGGTATATCTACGGTTGTTTATGACCTTGTATACTTTATTAATGTACTAAAGGGCTTGTAAAATTTGCATTGGATCACGGTGCACCCGTCAATCATGCTGTGAATGGGTTCTTACCACTTCAGCTTGCCTGTATTAGCTGCGATAATATGGTAGCTGTTCAGTATTTAATTGATCGTGGTGCAGACGTTAATTTGCAAAAGTAAAGCAAACACTTTATAAGTCAGCAATTTAAAAACACTCATTTACACGCATGTCTATAGTAAAAAAGGATACACAGCACTTCACGTTGCCTCGGCCAATGGATATCTTCGTATCGCCGATTTGTTACTAAGAAACCATGCCGAGATCGGTATCAAGGACAAGTTTGGCTCAACGCCGCTCGATATTGCTCTCGCCAGACAAGACGCCGACATGGTTGATTTGTTGACGACAAGGCCTATTTGCGACGATGAGACCAATCAGCAGTCCTCATCTGTGCACGGGCCGATTATGTCCGACTGGTACGGGCATGGTGTGGTTCATATGTATGATGATGATAACTATATTCATGCTCTCGAAAGGCGTGCGTATCGTCGCAAGATACTCGAGGTGTCCTCTGTCTCTTCCTGCATGACACCGACGAGAACCAAAAGTCCACTTGAATCCTTTTGTCGAAAGAGCCTCGAGCTTTGTCCACATCATTGGACTCAGTTCGTAAAGAAGCACAAGTGGGCATGGTATAGGAAACAGCATTCTTGAGCAATGTGTAAATATCTTATTTGGAACAATACTTGAAAGCAAGGCAAGTGATTCCTATCACTGCTCTTTCCTCTATTGGCCAAGCTTGTAAATAAACACGAATCTAATTTTTCAAAATATGTACATATTTGCATCTCAATGCGCATTTTATCTAAAAATAGACCTAAGTCTCATATTAAGTTTGTTTGTTTGTTTTTTTACCAAAAGAGACGAATAATTCCATAATTATACCATCGCATTACTTTTCTGGGAGCGAATATTAAACAAGACAAATGCACATAACAGATGCTTTTTAGCAAACAAACACTTTGAGCGAATAAAATAAAGCGCGGCATAAGACATATATTGTGTGAGTAGAGAGAATGGAAATTACTTTATTAAAAAAAAGCTTTAAAATGTGAATGAATTAATGTTCATATTCACAACCATGTTCTTGACAGATGTGCTTTAATTCCTTGGAATCGTGGCAGTCCTTGGCTCTAAATCCGCGAGCGCTGTGTTGTTCATAAGACTTGCACATTTTCTTGTCCTTAACGTGATGTGCTACCCGTTTGCAGTCTTCTGTACTTTTACCATAGCACTTATGGTGTCCATCGTCGGATTCAAACGTGATACCACAGCTAGCATAGACAAGCGCGACCAAATAAGAGAGGATCAAAAGTTTAAATACGATTTTATACATGAGAATAAATTAAAAAGAAAAAGAAAAAAGAATATGGATTTACAGAGAAAAGCAAGGCTTATTTATATTATTTGATTTGTTCCTGTGTAACGAAAGACGCTATGTCACTTGAGGCATCGCTGCATATATTTTGGTAGATCGTTTTACTGATCTAATATGGTATGTGTACATACAAGGTCAAACCATTTATCCATTGAACTATTTATACATGCAATGTAACAAATAGAGATGTATATAGTGTTGCATAAACTCTCATGGGTAAGACATTCAAGATCATTTTAAGATCATTAAATTGACACAAAGAGTAATTATTATGTTTGTGAAAGGATGAGAATAAGTAAAAAGGATTCAATGGAAGAGAAAATCAAGAATATGCCCTTAAAAGGTCCTAAGAGTTTCTAATTTTGATATTCAACTAAATTAGCGCCGTGCTGGTATAACATTAATAAAAAGACAGCAAAAAAATGACATGTTAGTCCATGGTTAAACTGACGAACGAGATGAACAAGAGAAACAAGTTAACCATGGACTTATTCATTGTTAATTCCACAAAAAAACCATGAATTCCAACACGAATACATTGAAACTTTATAAAATAAATAATATTTATACATTTACTTCATAGATCTAGTGTTTATAGAGAATGTAGTGCCCCGCAGTTTTATATGTATATTTGTATTATAAAGACCGCAAATCGAAAAAGTACGGAACCGGCAAATTGGTACCAGGAGCATTATATACTTCATTTTGCATAAAAGGAATATATTTCCGCGGCGTACGTGTGGGTACCCGGATGCTTATGGCTATACAACATTAAGCAACCAATGGCAATTGACGTTAAAAATATAAAGAGTATAGATGAAATTTGTAAATGAACAGCGGTTTTACCATCTCTGTTACAAATGATATATAAATCACTCTATCATGAATCAATATACAATTGAAGTGGTGTAAAAGCCTCCTTCTAAGAGCTGTGCATGGTGTTTTCTTTCTCCCAAGTACGCGGTATAAACCAACGTGTTATGCCGGGCTCGTATTTCATGCTACCAAAAATAAAATTTTGATTTATTATCATATTTCATTGCTTGCTTCCTTTGTAGGTAATAGCCTGGAAGTTTCTAATAGGTTTAAACACGTTGATTTTTGTCAGCATGCCCTTTGGTATCGCGTTAATTTCGCTTTTTTGGGATTTTTCTATCGACATTTCTCACATATTCTCATTTGTCCTCTTAGTAATGCTTGTACATTTGAAGAGAGTCTTATTTTAGATTTGCACCAGTGTGCTACTCGTATAAACGCGGCTAAAATTGCCCTCCCAATAGGAAATTATTCATGACCGCTTAGCAATTTTGTGCACTTTCTTTTTTATATATACTTAGTGCTTTCTTCTCTCTTTCTCTCCCTGTGGTGGCGCTTTCTATTTGGCTCTGTTAACCCTTTAGAAGAATAAGCACGCTCTCTGTTCAAGCTGTAACCTAGTACAGTCATCTGGTGTTTCAAATAGCTACACAGGTTGGGGCCAGGCTATGGATGTGAATAGTAGTCTCTACCCGTTTGTCTGTGAAAATAGGAATGCCTTCATAGCGTATCTACTCAAATAAATGCTTATGCTGTTACTCGGTGATATAAGACCAAAGCTATCTTGAATAGATTGCCGGTGAAGTACCTTCTTCTGAACTTGCGAAACAACTGGTAGACGAGGTTGGGTAGCCTGCCAATCCGACTAATAATGATAGTAATTCTCCTTATCTGGAACAGGGCTTCTCCTTGAACTATTAGTCTGGAACTATTCCTTTGTAATTTTCAGGCTTTGCAGATGTATAAGTTTAGACTTGATATATCCTCTTTTAATAAGGTGTACACACCCTTGATATTCAGTATTTTCAGATGTACTCTTACAGAAGTCCAGCTCACTAATCAAAGAGATTACTGTCACAATGCTTCAAATTGCTATTTTTCTCTAGCTTTTGTATAAGTAAATGCGCGAAATTAGTTGCTCACGCTTGAAAGAATAAGTGGCTACGAGAATAATAACGATTATGTTGAAAACATTCAGTTCACGATCATTTCTTCTTTTGTATTTTTTCTTCCAGTAAACCTTCTCTCTTTGACACATGCCATATATAGTCATAAACGATCGTTATTACTGTATGCTCAAAGCTCCATGCACTAAAGTAGCGACCATTTACATAACGTTGTAAACTAAAAAGGATGTATGTACAGTTACTATTCAAAGCAATGTTTGATTAGATTGAATTGTCTAAAGGTGAGGTAATTTGGCATTTTGAAATTTGAATAATGCAGCTTATATCATAACTATCTGCAAAATGTGCATAAACACTGTGATGTACTCCGTTTATAAGGTTTTGGACTGAATTTACAAGAAAAACAAATCAAACTTATAATGACACAACTTGATATTCAAGTATTTGTACCAATGAGGTTAGGCTTGGAAATGCTTTTATTGTCGATTTTCCATATTACAATAAGATTAGACACTTTGTTCTTTTTGTCTAGTCTTCGTAACCATTGTGGTATATGCCGTCATGGTTACGAAGACTAATTTGTTATGCCATCGAAGGAGACAACATTATACTTTTTGACATGGCAATAGTCTCGGATTAAGAATCTTTTAAAATGATCGTTTCCACGTCTTTTTCAATGTTTTATATTAAATCACTGCGAAATAATCAATGGGTATTACTTGCCTTTTTTGTCGTAGTACAATTTTAGTCAATACAAATCAAGGGACTTTTGTTACACAGACGTTGAATATTAGACTATCCCTTATAAAAAAAGGATGATAGAGTGTAGATGTATTCTGCCACGTATATAGTATTAATATGATTTTCAATATATATACGAAACCATAAAAGGATATAGAGCATGTTATATGGTAAGCATATATAAGGAGAAAGAAAAAAAGTGAGAGAGAAAGGAGGTCGATGGAGATGATAAGTAACCTATAATAAATGCTAAGCATGTAATATAAGCATATTTTGCCTTTAATAAGTATATAAATAAATAAAAAGAAAAGAGAAAAAGAAGAAGTGGTACATCTTTAATTCACTGCCCAGGTGACCATGTGGAATTCACAGAGAGACGAAAAGATATTACAGTCATCTTGAGGCTACCATTTTTAGATAAAAGCGGACATGGATTCTTTATTTTCTTTTTCTTTTCTTTCCCGAATAATAAACAAGATTTATGGTAAAATATAGAAACATAAAGATCTTATATTATTTCTCATACGCATATATTAGGACTATTCATACTCTGAACCAGTACCTTATCCATCTCAATCTACGCCCATACACCATTCTATGTCCGTCTACTCTGAGACGAGACCCCGCCGACATACGATCACTCGACCTGATTCAGCTATGGCTTTATTATCTGATATAGAAAATGAGGATGAGGATGATGATAGAGAGCAACAGGAAACGTTTGACAGAATATCAGGCATTTTATCCAATCTGATACAAGAGGCCAACGAGGCAGTACAAGATATAGAAAATGAGCGCGTTCATTTATTGAAGAAATCAAAAAGAACAAGCAAGACACCCAAGGTATACACTTCTTCAACTATTTTAACCAAGCACAACCTTGATACTAAGAGGACGAGAAGGACGAGAGCATCACATACACCTTGTGTGCATGTGCGCAATCCAAGTTCATCATCGACAACATCTAACAACTCCACACTTTTTTCTCCGCTGTCGGCGTCTTCGGCTTCTTCATTCAGTACTACAACTACCTTATCCAGTTCACCGCCATCAGTAAACAAGAAACTATTCAGACATACGGCCTTTCGACCAAGACAGTCTCCTTCAGTAACCGGATCACAAAGGCGTTCAACCACACCTCGAACCAGAAAACGATCCCAGACTGTTCAAGATACAATTATGGAATCCTTCAAACGACTTGATAGCTCAATGGCCTTAGTTGATTCGCTTTCTCGCGATTTAGCTACAACAACGGAGGAGGATGACAAAAAGAGTGGTCCGCTCGACAACTCTCGGATGACACTATTGCTACTCATTCCTTTACTGCATATACCACACTCACTTATCACCATGATTTTTGACTTTTGTACATCACCTACTGTATCCAATCGCACAAGTACCAGCAGTATTCTATCATCTCCTTCTTTTAGTATATCATCCATGGTATTTTGGGCTTGTGTGTTTACAGTAACAAATTTGATGGTGGATCAAGTAGCGATTATACCCAAAAGTTGGATATTGTCTCGAACAAGGCGAATTTCTTTACCTGGTTCATACACTATCCAGAGCATTAATAGCAGTAGCCATAGTAGTAGTAGAAATAGTATTAGTGGCAGTAGTAATAATAATAATAGTAGTAATAAAAGTGAGTCAAAGACGATAAAGAGATCCTGGATACCAAAATCTGTGCACAGACAATACCAATTTCAATTAGGTCAAACTATGGAACAACCAACGTTAAAAAGAAGAAATTCCATTTAATTTGATTGTTATGTATATGCTTTATTTTAAACCACAAAAAAAAGAGAGGGAAACAATAAAAAAAAACACTATGTACAATAATAAAATGTAAAAGCTTGGCAAAATGAATAAAGAAAGCTTATATGTCACACATGTCATGTTTGAATTTCTTGCCTTTTTGTATTCTCCTTGGCATTTATATTATTTCAATACATCATTTAAAAGACATGCTACATTATAATGGACCTTGGACATTAGCTCTTTTTCACGGATAACGCAGATCCCATGGAAAAACATTGCAGTCAATGGAAGAGCAAGGATAAACAGACTCCGCAGCTGCCGCTATTTCCGGAAAGTAAAGTTGTACCTGATAGAAACTGATGTCGCACTCTTCAAATAGTTTATTTCAAAAGCGCATCTTCCCTAAGTGTATAAGCCTTTCTGATAACACTTTCGTTTGATATTGTAACTAAAAAATTACAAAAATAGCAACTAGTCTAAGCCAGTACTCATAGTATTGAGTACCAGATGCTTGCTAGTCCCTGGGCCAACTATACTCTTGACAATAATAAATATGCTGAGAAATAAGCACCATGGGTCCAGAAGTATACGATGTGAAGCTCTTTCATTCACTTTTAGTAGAATGTTAGGAAGCGTCACGTCACGTCAAATTCTTAGTGATTTAAGCCTATCTATTGCTCCTGTGCATAAAATAGTAACTTGCAGATATGGAGCTTCCGTCGTCCTTAATTTGATTCGACCCATGTAGACTTGTGACTTTTTCATACTTTGCACTCGAGAGAATTTCCTTGCATCTTCTTCAACAAAGTTCCATCTTAAGCAAATAAAAATACCCTTCACTTCTACAAGTGACATCATTTTACAACTTCATACTATCAAACTCTCTACCTAGCCCAAGGCTGTCCAGTGAAATTTTCACGAGATTGATCTTGGTTCTTTATTGATCAAACTGACAAGGAATAACAATGTGTGTTTTTTTTTTTTTTATCTCTTCTTCATGAAAGAAACACACTAAGATGGCAATTTTTTAAAGTCATGTTTAGCTTGAACACTACACATTGAATAGTTTTGTTAGGCTCCATCATAGGTTGTAGGTAGAAGTAGCGTCCGTAAAATTAGTCTAACTTCTTGTGTATATTCTGGTCCATGTAGTGCTTTTCCAATGAAAATATCATAAATCTCTCAAATTACAATTGAAATATAATAATGAAAGCTTTTTCATTTTCAAGCTATTGACACATATGTAAGTGTTTTTAACACCCTTCCAGATGAAAGTTGCTTAATATATGTATATAATTTATCAGAGTTGAAGGCCATCAAATCGACAACTCTTACATTACAAATATGAAGTTATCAAAGCTGTAAATAGATTAAAGATGACATTCATGAGAATGATGATCGATGCCGACCTTTGGAAAATGTCCTTAGCCGCAACACAAACAAGCAGAAAGTATCATACAAGATTGGGTACTATAGGCAAGAATACCTCGTTGCTCACTTTTAAGTAAACACATCAATTACCTTCTCTCGCATGAAACCGCATTCATTTTTTTTTTTTTCCTATATCCAGTTATTTGATTAAATAAATATCATTCACATTTTCACAGTGTACTGTATGGATCAATTTTCTGAGATGAAAGGACTTTACACCGCACCAACTCATACGGCTGATGAAATTGATACAGAAGCATCTATCTTCCTCCGTATTCATCTGAGTTTAGTCCGATCGAGAGTTTTTGGTCCACAATGAAGAGTTAACGGCACTGATGTTTTGAAAATGAGATTAACTTAGGCATCAAAAGAGATAAAGCCATCTACGCTCAGGAGCATTAATCACCATTCTGTAAACATGTTTGATAAATGCCTGCGAGTGAAGCCTCTCTAATAAACCATATATCAATCGCTTTGATCTTTGATGCCTATTGAATACGTAATTTGAGATTGCCAAAAGTGCAAGGTGTTTTCAAAAAGCGCCATTTGGCACTGGAGGCACTGAATGATAAATAGTTCCTGATTGGTGATAGTTACACCATCCACTTTAAATAGAGTTCAGATGAATAATCATCGTATTATAAATAACAATATTCCTTTCAAAGTTTTCTTGTAACACAAATGTAAAGCCGGAGCTTGGCTTTTTTTTTCCAGGAAAATGTGGTTGCCGTAGAAACGCGCAGCCAAGAAAAAAAAAAGGATAAAAAAGCTCCGCAGTCATCAGGAACAAAAAATATATAAGGCTGTGTTTCTTTTTCATTTCTTCTCCACTTTACTCGTTTTTATTTATACACACAATGAACTTACTTAACGCAGCTCTCTCTTTCCACTTTGAATCCTATTCATTCTGCCCAAAATGTGGAGTAGACGTGACCATATTCTGTCATGAAAGTGATTGCCCTTCATACCACTCAGCAACAAAGGATTAGTCGAATCAGATCACACTTTACACAACTCAAAATTCAGGACAAACTGGTACAAGCTACATCCAACTGCTTTAGATGCATTATAGACCGCAAGGCAAAAGTCAATATATCCAAAAACGTCAGGATAACGCAAGCATGCCAAAAAAAAAAAACCGAGATAAAACAAATAGATCAAACTTCAGCAAGAGATACATTAGAGAAACATGGAGAAATTACTAGAACCATCAAGAAAAGAAATCATCAGACTTTTTCGAGCATTTTGTTATTATTCTTATTTATTTGTAAAAAAAACTTCATTTTTATTTATTGTATATTGTATACTCTTGTATATTGTTCTTGTAAATAATTATTTAATGAATAAATTATTAATCAATATGGTTACCATGGAAACAGTTTTATTTTTTTTCTTAAAAAGGAAGCCATGTTGTCTAGACGCGTGGATTGTTTTAATCTCAACACGTAGTCAATTTGTTATTCATCCGAGTGGCGCTTAATTCCGGGGCACAATGGCGCCATTCGCCGATTTGCGCAGCTAATGAATCATATTTTTTTATCTATTAGCCAATCCCCTGAGCAATTTGTCATCCATAGCAACTTTATCTCAATGAATATAAAGCTTTTTTGGTTCAAGCAAGCATATGATGGACCTGATCTTTTTGTTTTTCAGAGAAAGTCTTTTGAGACGTTTTGATCAATAATAGTTACCTCAGAGCGGTTTGCTTTTTTGACAGCAGTCAAGCTAATCACAATAGGCCGTTTGACATTTTCAAAGTAATTATGTTATGTTATTTATGATGTGTCTAGAAACATGGTTCATGAATGTCTTGAGTAACAAAATATACTTGTCATCATTTCGAATAGTATTTAAAGAATGTTTATGTGCTCTTTTTTATCTTCATTATTTACAATCCATAGATAATAGAATATTAGTTTATTTGATATCAATACATTCCGTTGTTACAAAAGTCGCACTAGGAAATTGAAGTGTAAAGCTGCATCTGTACCTAGCAGTTATTAAAAGTGCGCCCACAAAAGAATAAAAGGAAAAGAAAAAAAATGATATGCAGCTTCATCAGCAGATCATAATATTCTCAAGCTTATTGGAAGCTTTCCAATAAAAAAAATCATGTTCCTACTTTCATGTGATGCATAGAAATAGCTGTGCTGTGTATTAACATTTTGTCGTTTTTCTTTTCTTTAACATAATTATGCATATTAAAAGACCACAATTATCGCTTTCACTCTTACGACATTCTAAAATAAACTCAGATAAAAAGGGTAATATAACAAAAAATTAATCCAACATGAAATAACCTCCGAGTTAGAATTCGTCTTCAATTCTTTTCAACGTAAAAAAGGACGCACAAAAAAGGATGTATACCTGAATGAACAGCACAGCCGGCCATCTTTGAACTTGTCTATAACGAACGATTCTCGGTTCAAGGATGAGTTACTTCCATCGTATTCATGTACTGTTCATAAAGTAGGTATCTGTCATGCAAAAATCGAGGTGGATTCACTAGGCGCCAAACCTTGGCGGCGTCCATGGAGGTAAATAGCTTATATAACTATTTTTACCTCTTCTAATGAGCTATAGACATATCTTTATGGAGTTAAGAGGAACATTTTTACAGATATATGAAATCAAGACGTTTAAACCTCTCTACTTGCCAACATTTCCAGCCGATTATCAACAGACATTCAAATGGATTCCCCTTATTAACCTATCACTCTCTCAGCTTGAAGCCGTAGTGGCCGATGATTATAAAAAGAGATCAAACGTATTTCGTATCATAGACTCTAGTCTACGGTTACTTGTTCAGGTTCAAACAATGGCAGAAATGCGATCTTGGATGGAAAAAATATCTGCTGGTAAGTTCGAAATTACAGTCCAAGTGAGCTATCATTCATATCTTTTCAAAGGTAAAAATATTGCTGTAGACTTTGTTTATCCTCCAATACCCACGATCGATTGTCTTGGTTGCATTGCATAAAACGTTAAAATCTATATCCTATTTTTTTATTGGCCATGAATGCATCATTTTTCCTTATAAAACTTAATTCATCCTTGCTCATGTGTATTTTAATTACCTTTTTGACATTTTGTTGATCATTATGCAACCCAAAAAAAAAGATTTTTCTAAAGGCTGAGTCAGAATTGCGTGTGTGTGCTTCTTTCAATTTTATTTAATGGACTACACAGCAGTCAAAGAGTTCCTGGATCCTTTATATCAACACGTTCCTTCGTCTTGCTCTAAGCCCTATATCACACTCACTTTTGCTCAAAGCCTTGATGGAAAAATAGCTAAAAGGGGACAGCAGCTAATTCTAAGCGGTAAAGAGAGTTTGGCTATGACACATCGGTAACTTGTAAAAATAAATATTGTCCAAATTATTAATAGCCCACAACTAGACTTCGTATACTTCATGATGGAATATTGGTAGGCATAGGAACAGCTCTGGTTGATGACCCTCAGTTAAATGGTAATCATGATTCAGCTGTTTAATTAAACAAAAAAACGCTTATTTGTTTTGTTTAGCAAGATATCTTTCCCCAAACGATTTAGCTTCAGCAAAACAACCAAGACCCATCATACTTGATCCTTCTCTTCGTCTTCCTTGTGACTGCAAATTGATTAGAAACTGTCAAGAAAACAAAGGAATGCAACCATGGATAATAACCATACTAAAAGAAGAATTAGAGCATAAAAAGCGGAAAGCACAATTGGAAGAGGCAGGAGCAAAAGTCTTTACTGTCAAGGCAGATGGAGGAGGTATTCGATAATGAATTAGAATATTTTCTTTTGTGCTAATTCTCTCTTTTAGATCATATCCCATTGCCCTTTGTGTTTTCTCTATTGGCAACATTAGGAATAAAACGGTTGATGATAGAAGGTGGGGCCAGGATTATCCAATCCTGTTTGGCCGATAGACTATGTGATCAACTTATTATCACCATTGCTCCTAAATTTATTGGCAATGATGGTTTAGATGCTGTTCAAGAAGAGTTGAATCAATTAAACAATATAAAGTATCAGGTCATGGGTAAAGACATCGTACTTTCGGCTACCCTAAGTTAAATTTACTAAGAATAAACGGGTGTATTCTCTTTACATATCTATTTATTATTATTATTATGTTTTTGTGATATGATATGTCTTTCCTATACGAATTAATAAAGTACGTAATGCCTTACGAATCTCCAGCAGTAGATTATCTTGACCTAGTAGTTCAATAGAAGGAGAGTAAAATTGAGGTACATGTCGTAGGAACTATATATAGAAATAGTAAATACATGTATTTAATTATATATAAAACTAACTTACATCTTCATCTTGTAATTGTGCTAAACCATGTAGTATATTTACAACAACCGGAGTCCAAGCGGCAATGTTCTTTGGTTTCGTCTCATGGTCAAGTTCAGCGTATAGAATAAATATCTCGTTGCAAAGTCTATTTATATATGTGTATCAAAGTTATAAGTATAGTATATGCCATAACTTACGGTATCAGAATACTTTCAATCTCTTCCCTTTTTTCATCTCGGTCACTTATATTCTCTAAATTAGCATACATTCTCATCAATACAGATACATAGCATCCTCCACTGGAGGTCTCTTGCTTTAACAAATTAGGTAGTTGCTTCATGAATCCAAATCGGAATAGTGCCATTCGTAAATCATTATCATTGTTGAACTTTTTAGCAAAATGGAAGGATTTACCAAGGCATTCCATGAGCTCCATAAGATGTGAGGCAGGATAGGCACAATACACGTTGTCCTTGGCTAACATGTCATTGACGGTTTGGATAAGCATCAGTTGCAGTACGCATTTAATAATCACTTGTTGGAACTCTCTTTGTCTCGCAGGGCTTATTACAAGATTTAACGATACCTCATGGTTTTCGCCGTTTGGTACTATACATATAATAAGCATACGCCAAGCTCATCTTTTGTCTTTTTTACCTCCTAAAGACAGTTTCTTTACTACGTCAACCAAATCTTGTGTATCATCAAACAGACCATACGCTGTTGTTTCCTCAAATAACATCTTCAACGTCTGCGTCACCAGATTCCAACAGTTTCCATCAAACTTTTCCATATTTGACTGAATGTACTGATCCAAACATTCACAACCAATGTGTGAAAGTGTGTCGTTATCTTTGTACGCAAAAGTGTTAGCGATCAACACCAGTCACCTGTTTTTGTTTACCTTGAGTGATACACATGCTAAATAAGCCTAATACATGGCTCATCATTTCTTTCATATTATCAAAATAGAAAGTATATAAATCAACTACATTGCGAAGTGCTTCAATCATCGTAGTCGATAACCACACGCTAAGATCCTCGGCCGTCATACGCTGCCTTTTACTGGTTTCGCCTTTCAAATCATCAAATAGAGGGAATACGATCTGGCGAGAGACAGTTGTCCAGAATTCAGGTGTAAATGAAGAGCCGTGTTGCTTTAAAGTTTCAAAGAGATACTCTAAAGCGCGCTGGCGTACTTCAACATCATCGCTATGCATCACAATTTCTTTCAATCCAAACAAGACGGCAAACCAAAACTTGATCAAGAAGTCATCAGGGTTTGTCTGTTGTATATTATTTGTTGCATGAGCGTCCGTTATTTCCAGAGGCGTGCTTTTATTAGCAATGTCAAGCATTTTAGGAATCGTTGCCTTGATCATGTCTAATGCCGGCAAGCTGATCTTTTGGAACCGCTCGTTCTTGGAGAATTCGACAAGGCAGGATATATAATCCGGAAAGGTACCGTTGGCTACAATGTCGGCAAATCGTTCGTTGGTGATGCTGCGTACAATGTCGTACGTCATATGTACAATCGACTCTGAGCTTTCTCGTGCACCTGTAGCAAAGACCGAAAACATCGTCTTCCATGCAGAGCGTAAATGATGTGGTCGTGCTTGGATCATTTGTGATAAACAGCGCAACACCATGTCCTTGATAGCCACTTCTGGATTATTCGCCAATATCTCTCTAAAGGGCATTAGGAAATCCTTTTGGAATTTGAAGTGAGGTAGTTCCTCCTTTTCCAAAAATTTCATTGCCAATTGACGTAAAGAGTCCAGAGCAAAGAACGCCACATTAAAGTTGGATTGACAGCCTACTTTGTTATAGTAATCACCAAGTATAGCCCAGATGTTGGACCATTCCATACGAATACGGTTCATGTTGTAATATGATATCTCTACAAGCTTTTGAAGGCTGTACATCCTAGGGTGCTCCATATGAGCAGATGACACGATCTCTTCCCAAGAAGTCTCGCACAGTGCACGCACAAAATCTACAATCGCGTCCTTGAAACGATGTTAATGTGGTTTCATATTTTTATATATGATGCTTACCCCATTCAAGTTTACTGTAGAAGTAAACAAACGATCCACAGCAATAATTAAAGATTGTGATGAACTGGCTGTAGCTACTTCTTCAGTAAGAGACAACTGCGTGTTTGCTCTACTGTTTGTTGTGAGCATGCGACTACGATTACCCATGGTGGATGTTCGGCGACCAACATCCATAGATGCCTTTACAGATGGTACTCTCTTGTGATTACCGGAATCTATCATATGTCCTGTGTCCAATCCACTGGTAATAAGCTGGAATCGTTCTAGCTGGCTGACTGTCGATAAAATCTCTTTCCATGAGCCCTTCAAGTAATTTCCATCAGCCGCTGCGACTTCGAGCAAAGTTCGAATTGCTTCCACATTTTTTGGTTTCATCTCATTAAGATTGCTCAAGAAGGTAAACTTGGTCAGTGTCGTCACAAAAGCATCCCTTTGCAAGTCGACATCCTCTGACTGTACTGTATGGAACAGACAAATGATACGAATGGCATGCTTAAATCCTTCTAGGCAAAGGTTAACTGTCTCGAGATCGTCTGATTCTTGAAGAGGTCCAGATATGCCCGCCAAAAACGCCATCCAGGCAACTTCAAACATGGGGCGTACATGCTCCACATGTGAAGCAGAATAGAAAGTGATTGTGTCATTCTCTCCTGCGCGGCGATGGCTCGTAAGAACGCTACGAAAGAGAGCCTCTGCTTTGGATCCCATCTCTTCAATAGCCGCCTGATAAGCTTCCCGACGGACATCACGCGTAAGACCTGCGTTGACAAGTGCATTTTGAATACCACCCATGCCAAGAACGCCCGTATTTGTACTGTTCACAAGGGCCATTTCATTAGCTCCTTCTACTTCGTCTTTCATTTTGATCTCATTGTTTTGAATTTCTTCAAAGATTGCTTCCAAAAGCTCCTTAGGAAGATCCGCTCCATCGTCAATGCCTCGATTGTTTCTTAAAAAGTCCTCTAATGTCATTCGTCTCTTCACCTGAGGGCTGTGAAGATCTGTGTTCAACAAGATGACAGAGAAGGCAAGGACATAAGCAGGATCTAAATTCATTTTTAGTCAATGTCCACACTTTGTTTCCCCTCAAATGAATTATTTACCTGCACTAGAAAATACTGTAGGATTGCCGTGAAGGTATCGTTCTGCAAACTTGAGCATGAATCTATCAATCTTTTGACTTTCACCAGGCAATCTGAAAGCTTGAAGGTATGCTCTCAACGCTTCAGTGAACTTCATACCAGAAAAGTCCATTTCGTCAACAAACAGATGCATAATGCGAATATTTTCTTCGTCACTGTAAAACAGTGTTAGTATTTGCTTCTTTTCTCTACAACAGACAACTTACTGCTCTCCAAGATACTCGCCAATAGCTGTCTTGTTCAAGGACTCTGTGTTCAGCAAGAACAAGGCGATGCCACGGGGATCATTCTTGTCCAAGAATCCATGTTCACACAAGAAATTAATACCCTTCTTTGGCTTCCAATTGAATTGACGTATGCCTTCTTGAAGAAGTTGCTTGCGATGCTTCAAATTTTCAAACTCTTCGGGGTCATCTAAGCGTGTGGTACTATTATTATTGCTCAGAGCAGAGGATGATCCATTAGAGGATAGACGATTGGCCATGCTGTTATGACCTGACTGATCTTCACTTTCACGAGGGGTGTCTTCGTCCTTGTTCTCACCCGCCGTAATACTTACAGAGTTATTTGTATACCAACCCACGAGGGAACGAAGGACGGCGACAAGACATTCCAATGACTTGAACCGTATTGCAGATTCTGGCATCGCAGATGTTTGGTTTTGCTTATCGCTATGCAGAATGGTAGCAGTTGTCAGAGGTGGAGGGATCATGACTGAGTGCGAATGAATATTGGAGTGCTGTGGTGCATCAGATGGAACACCATGGTGGTCGAAATCTTTACTGTTGGGAGTCTGCTGATGATGATGTGATGTCGTGATCTTTGAAAGGACGTGAACAAGACGTTCATAGATGTTGTCTAGTGCTTCACGATCACAGTCATAGTTAATATAAATATCGACTAGCGTCTGAGGATCTTCACAGATTCGTAAGAGTCCCTTGAGCAAAGAAAATCTCTGTTGGTTTGAAGCATTGCGCATCTCGAGTATTTTCAGTACGATCTCCTTGAAAAATATTTCAATCTCGGTCTTCAAGTATACACGTAAACCCTGAACTACGGTCCAAAGAATCTCATGTGTGATGTCAAATACTTGTGGTGCGACTGAGAATGCGTTTCGACCCAAGCTAGGGCATAGGTACTGCTTGACTTCTAAAATGAACGGATTGGGTCTACGTCCGCTAGGATCTGGTACTGATGTGGAAAAGAAGATTTGGTCTGATGTGAATACGTCCATATGTGAAGTCATGATTGTCAGAATCAAATGCAATGATAACAACTTTGAACGCATAGAATAAGATCTCATGTCATTACCCCTAATAGGAGTACGTTGAAAAGATTGATTATGGCAATAAAGAGAACACTTACCATTCGGCTTGAATTGATTTTTTTGACAGCTTACAAAGGGCTCTGAATACGAGAATAGCGTCCTTGATGTAAAGATCTGCCTCTGTCTCAAATTCACCATTTTGAATATTGTCATTTTCAAACGAGTCTCTATTCTCATTACTACGCATATATCTCTGTTATTCTCTTTTCTTTCATGTATGCATTCTTGCTTTGCTTACGGTTCGTTATGATTTAATTCAGCTTTTTCAGGCCCATCGTGGGATGTACCACTAGCTGCTACTGCGTTTGATATACTATTTATCGCAAGACTATCTTTTGTTTCCTCTTGAAACATATTTGCTGTATCGTTCAGTATATCCTGATAGTTATCTTTACTCTTCCCACTTGGTGCCTTTTGATTCATTTCTGTTCTTGCCATATTTGCTTCGACAATGATCTGCTGTTGATAATCCTCTGCACCGTTTTGCAAGTTTTCTTCGCCCTTGTTACCATTCTGTTGCTGCTGCTGCTGTTCTTGTTCTTGTTGTTGTTGCTGCTCTTGTTGTTCTTTTAGTTCGCTCTCCTCTTCTTGTCTTGGTATTTCGTTCGGATACCGTTTTACTCTTCTGAATATATGGTAAACCATCTGCGTCATTGTTACCTGTGCTACATTTTGATTATCATTATTTCTAGATAGTAAGAATATGTTGTAAGTCGTTCGGACTGCCTTTAATAGTGCTGACAGATGAAGTGGGTTGCTTGTTGAGTAGACCGCGTCCAAGAGTGCTTTGATAATCTGTAACTGAACCTTTTTATCGGTTTCTTCACCAATAAAGCAATCACATATGCCATCCACTACTTTTTCCATTACTTGTGTTTGTGCTACCTCGTCCTCCATGTCAGCTACATAGTTGTATGTGATAAATTTGCCAAGACAATCGAGTGATATGGTCATCAAATTAGCTGAACGTGTATCGATAGCCGCTTGAAGTGCAGTCAAAATGACAGAAGATCTTTACATACAAAATAAGTCGCTTATCTAATCAAATCCTGTCCGTATCTTACCGAGTTTGTCCTTCTGGTGCTGGCTCATTATTCTTCAACATATCTATACAAAAAAAAGTTGTTATTTTATAATAAAAAGAAGAGGTTTTCTCTTTACTTGAAGCTATATCAACGGCTTCCTTTAGAGATTTGTTTCGACGAATCTCTTTTGATGCTGCAATTTTCTCGAGTGCGTTTATAACAAATACATTGCTTGAGGCAACTGAAGAAGCTCTTGGCGATGACAAACTTTGTGATGAGGTTGCTGGAGAAGACATTTTAGATTTTCTCTCCTTATTTGGTTCTTTTCTATTGCCAAGTATAAATATGTAAAATACTAAAGAAATAAAGCAGCTAAGAAAGGAGAAAGAGAGATAGAGAGAGAGGGGGGGAAATGTTTATGTGTGTGCAAAAATAACTAGGATTCCAAGTCCGAATGAACGTCAAAGGCTGTGAGGGAAAAATACACGTATAAGGATTGATACAAACTGTATTAGGAAAGGACATAACTTTATTGTACAATTTATCTAATTTTGAATAATATTGTTGACATGAGCATGTAGTCTTCTCATATACCTTGTCTGATAAGTGGCTTTGGATAATACATCGTTTGATAACCATTTTAACTCTGCCTTGGCCTTTTCTTCTTTTGCTAGCTCTATGATTCCTTCTAAAAGAGGACGGGAGATTGGCAATTTAGAAGTTTGCTCTGACCAAGTACGCAAGACATCAAAGACAAGAGATACATCTTGTAGATCAAGCAATGAACTCAAATAAACTTCAATGAACTTGATGTCAAGTCTGTTATAGGGTGGACCAGGAAAAGGTACTACTGGTGAAGTTTCCCGGACGGGTATAGGGATCTTTCCAGCCTTTTCATGTCGATACATTGTGTATTGGTTAAAGAGCCGACGTACGTTCTTGATATCACTCTCTGCTGCATGCTTTGACAGTAAGATCTCCCAAATGTCTTCATTGTATTCTATGCCTTTTGTGTTCATCTCTTGGATGATATTATCAGTGTTCATGCCTTTAATAAGAGTTGCAGCACGGAGAAGGGCGCTATACACTTCTGGGCTATTTTCGTCTGGCCATTGTCCTTTGCGACCCTTAATTCTGTTTGTCTTTAAGACGTCTCTGATCTCACCCATAATTTCCTGTGCTTCCTTTTGTAGCTGCGCTGTTGAACAACAATCGAGCAGAGCACAGTACGTGCCAAAGTCAATCTTACTTGAAGCTACGTCGAGTTCCATATCAGGCTTGATGTTACGGATAGCTCGCTTGGATTGCTCTGGATCAAGTGCAGACAGTGCAAACGCATGTCGATATAATCCAATGTCGGGTGAACGGTTGTGAAATTTCAACGAATTCCATCGATCGTTGAACGCCTTAAACTTTCCACTGGCAGCAAGACAAGTTAAGAGAGTAGCAAAGGTAAATCTATCGTGCGGTAGACGAGCCTCCAACATGATTTGCTCAATATCAAACAGACGAGGATCCAGTGGTAGAGGATGTTGAGCATGAGATGGCAGTAAGGAAGCTAGCTTGAAGTTATCAAAATAGTAATGGCCATGGGCGTGAGGAATGCAGGCACGGAACAATATGTGGAAAGTGCGATGGTTCAAGTTGTTGATATGCGTTGATTGCATCTTTGACAGTACCTCTAATGCCTTATCTAGCCTCTTGCTACGTTTACCCTCTGTGTTGTATTGTCGTGTTGTTGCATAACCCTGCATCATCAGATGATAGCTTACTTCGTTAGGTTGAACGTCATGCTTTTGCATATAAGAATCAAAAATGTATTCAGCCTTTTCCATAGGGTAGTTGTCAGGATCAAGGCGATTAGCAAGTGTAAGATATTCTAATACAAGATTGCAATCTGTAATGTCTACTGGACCATTGAACATATCCTTTGTCAAGTTTTCCCATGATGCGTGTAATTGATCTACTTCAGTACATACATTGGGCTTTAAGTTCAGACCTTTTGATCCTCGGGAAACAGCATATCTGTCGATAATTTGAGCAAGAGCAACCTTGTGAGCCATGAGGAGCATTGTCTTGTCGGTGCTTCCCGGATAGAGTTCATCGCACATTGCCTTTAATCGAAAAGTCTTTTCTATGTTTCCGTCATAGGCAAATGTTCGCAGAAGTCGTTCAAGTGTATAGTTTGACAGCGTATTGTTTTCCTTCAATCTAGCGAGTATTTCTTCAACTTTACTGTCACAATTCACCATTGCCAAAGAAATAAGTGTGTTTTCATCAAATGCCAGCTTGTCTCGTACTCTTTTTCTAGCCTGTTCGACATATTTTATCACCTTGTCTTCTTTTCCTAATATTGCCCATCCCTTTTACAAACGTTAATACTTGTTCTTCCCTTAATCTCTTTCATATTTTACTCTAATAAATAACTGCCAAGTCTCTTGATCCCTTAAATTCTTAAACTTGAATACTCTTTTGAATTGCTCTAGTAATGCTCGTAGGTCTTCGGTGCGATGAGTATTTCCAAAATGAAAGGCTACTTTGAGCATTTCTAACCAGAAATTGCGATCTTTTAATACTTCTGGAGGTAGAGGGGAGTTTTTTGAATAAAACCAGCTTGCGACAACAGATGTATATTCTGCGTCAAATGGTGCATTTCGAAGAAGATTGAGCAGACGATGATATAGATCAGGTGTGGTCAGTCCAAATTCTTCAGCGCTCAGTACTATCTTGATAGCCTCTCTGACATCGCCTGTTGTTCTGCAGTGATCCAGCTTTGAAGTCAATTCTTTTTGAGAGGGAACAGCCGACTTTAATGGCTTGTTGCTGCTCACATCAATAGATTCTATATCTAGTAGTTCTTTAGGTGCCTGTGTCGCCAAAGGTCGTGTCCATTGAACTGTGAAGAATGGTTAGATGTAAGCTGGTTTTAATAATGTGTATACCATTAGCAAGTGGTGAGGCTTTCTTTAAAAAGTTAACAACAGGTTTTGCTTGTACATGTCTTGATCTAGCAACAGCTCTTCCTAATGTTGGGATCATTGTTAATGTATCTCTTCTGTGGCTTCCTGATTGTTTCAAACAAGAAGGTAGCCCGGCCTTTTTTGAAAATTGGCCGGGATTTAAAAAGGACTGTGACTTTAAAAAAAATAAAGTGTTGTTGAGTATGAAAAAAAGTGATATGGGCTTTTCGTTCTCAAGTTTGCATGTAAAACAAAGTCTATTTATTGCTTTTTATGATAACAAGCGTACCAAGAAATCAGAATCTACGAACATATATGAAGGCTGTCTACAGCTTTGTATTTCAGAATAGCCTAGATCCAACGCGTCAGTACAACAATGAAGCATTTTGAATTTTACTCCATCCATCTAACCATGACATGTCCGCGCTGTGTCGTTCACTGACAATTTGAATGCTCTCAGTCATCGTTTTCGTGTTGATCATGAAAGAATACCTGATTAGTCAACAAAAACGAAGCGAAACTAGTATATCTGGCAGCTCTTCTCTTAGTGAACATGATCAAGGTCACAGTCCTACCAGTCTAGTCAACTATCAACAAGAACAAAGTGCTGAAACGATGGGTCAAAAAGCAATCTCACGATGAATTACTCTCACTGGATGATATTACCGTCAATCCTGATATGTTTTATATTGGGTATAAACTACTATAATCTTACAGTTGAGTATACATTATATTTCCTTCTATCTCATTAGATGATAAATAGGCATACTGACCACTTTTAACTGACAATAAATCTCTACCTTTTTTTTTTGATGTTTTCATCATTTGTTCCCTTGGATAACATGAGTCGTTCACGAGAGTAACGTTATAATCAACAACAACAACAAAGCAGGTAGCTCAAATCCCAGCACATGATCAAATTCGGAATTCTGAACTGGTATTAGTAAGAATTCAGCAAGTATTAGCTATCAATCATGAACATGTCATTTCTTAAGTATGATAAAAATAAACTATGATTTTATTTTAGATATGTCATCCAGAAAGACCTGTTGCCGTCTTGATTATCCTACTCCATGTGTGGCCAATCAAATTATGTGAACTGTTACAGATGGTTATTACTGCTTTAAGGTCATGCCGAAATACGCTTATTTTAAATAAACCACAAGGGGAAAGGGGGAAGGGAAGCAGAAAAAAGAGAAAGAATACAGACAGAAAAGAGAAGGAGTAAAATAAAGATGACAAGGGAATGAAAATAAAGATGATGTATTTATGAAATACATATAAAAACCATTACCCGTAATTTCCGTCTATTTTTTTCTCTTTCTTTATTTTTTTTTATAGAAATGGGCTTCATTGAGAAAATTAAAAACAACATTGACTATTATAAACTTGATAAATATACAAAGAGAAGAGTATCTCAGTCTCAGTTTGAGTCTCATGATCGACGATATTATGAAAATGTCTATAGAGATGGTGATTACATAGATCCCAGTCAAGCACAGTACTCAGGTCCTACTCGTTCACACCTATCATATAAACAATCTCGTTGGTCATTTCATGAAATGTTGAAGAAACCAGTTAATAAATCAGCTACAAGACACATAAGGACTTCCGAGACTTATACTTTTGGTCGAGCTTGACGATAAAGAACAGAGAGTGCTTTGTATATTTGTGTGTAAAAATAAATAAATGTTTATATGAAGAAATGTGTACATATACACTAAGCTCCTTGAAGCATTCTATGGAGCCTCTGACGCATTTGGTATGTGCCAAAGTTCTCAACCTAAAGTATGTATTAATCATATGCTCCCTCATGTTTTCTTTTTTTTTTATGACTATTTACATTACGAAGAATAGCAGGATAAAGATCCCATTGATCGTCTTGTCGTTCAGTTGGTAAATCCCAAAATGGATCATAGGTAAAAGCTATTCGTCTAGCAAAGGGTATGTTCATTAAAGTGAAGTCGATGTTCTTTGTATTTGTTGTTGGATCAGTTCGTATGTGATAACCATTACTGAGCTGCCTTGAGAGACTAGGATAAAGGTCATAACAAATGTCTTGGGTAATATAATGCTGATAATATACCCTTGGTGTCGTCTCGAGCTGTATATTCTTAAAGGTTGACATGATGTAAAATGAGAAAGAAAAGAGAGAAAGAAGAAAGATCTCGTATTTATAATTAAAAAGTAGCTGCATAAATATATAACGACACATGATTATGAAAAAGCACATTTTCCCCTTCTTAGAAAAGCAGTTCATAATGAAATATACAGGTTGATCTTCATTGTCATATTGGTCCTATAGACTTTTATAGACTTGCCGACGAATGGTAACCATGGTGATTATGGTGGTGGTGAGCCAGTGTTGGCAGTAGTAGTCACAGCACATCAAATTCGTCCAATCACAATACCATAACAATCTCCGCTATAACTTTCTCTCTCTCTGACTCTCTTTATCGTTCTTGACACGGCCCCTCTCTCTCTTTTTTTTTTTTAATTTTATTGCTGCGTGTGAAACTCTTTTGATGGCAGCAACAAAGAAGAGAAAAGTAGAGGTACCAAGTGCAAAGATAGATTCTTTCTTTAAGCGTATCAGCAAACCTCAAAAGCCAACAACAAATGAATGCAGTATTAGTGAAAATGACGAGAATCAGTCTTATAGTCAAGAATCAATCACAAAAAAGCCATTTGGACTAAAGGATACAACAATAATCAAGCCACTAGGGCTAAAGGACACAACAACATTGAAGCCACTAGGTTTAAAGGACACGACAGCTGTCAGACCATTAGGATTAAAAGACACGACAGAACAACCATTAGGACTATTAGCAGATAACAAGCCATCAAAAGACACAGATAAAAAGACAAGGCAACCACTGAAAGAAAAAATGCCACAGTCATCCAGCCCACTTAGACTTTCTTCCACTGTCAAGGCGGCAGCACGTAGTTTCAATGTGCTTTGCGATGATGATATTGATAAAGGCGTCAAACAGGCTCCTGAAGTGCAACCCAAAGCATTTCAAGTGCTTGCAGACGATCAAGATGAGCTTGACACACAGCATGTACGCACATACACACCGAATAGCTCGCAATGGACAGATTGCACTTCTTCACCTATTGAGTACCCTGATGAAGGAGATCAGTATGGTTCTCAGGAGTCAAACCAAGTTGTGCTTTCACAGCGCATAGATGAAAATGACATCAGACAAGATGAAGAAATATTGAGACGAACAAATGAAAATGATCTATATAACGACGACGATTATGATCTGAGGCTGATAACAAAGACAACACATAAAGAAAATATTGTTCGTCCGGTATTATTAAAGAAAGAAGAAGAGAAAGAAGACGTATTTGAAGTCTTTGCTGATGAACCCAATCTTGTCCCTGCAGGGTCTTCATCTGGATTTGGCATCTTCTTTGATGATGATGATGAAGATGATAAGGAAAATGACTATGTTGATCCAGACTTGGAATTTTCAATCTCTAGTGTGACAAGTGTTCCCATTGAAGACTCGCTACTCACTTTATCACCTGCAACAGAAGACAAGGTCAAAGAAGTTCATGCTCCACTTCCATACCCCAGAGGAGAGAATATTGTGCAAAAGCTTGGACTTGAAAAAACCAGCAATGACGACGATAACGACGACGACAAAGAATAATTATACAAGATATAATCATACCCCCTTTCTTTCCTTCTTTTTTTTTTTTTTTCCTTTTCATTCAATTGTCTTTTGCATCCCTCTCTTTTTTCTTTATCTTTATTTTTTTATTTATCTTCTACAAATGCAATCCCATTGTCCAATGATATGTCTAATAATTGGCCGTCTTCATCCTTCTTTACTTTGGCACTAAATGATATGTCGTATACATCAAATTTAAAATCAAAATCTTTGACGCTCTCCAAACGAATATATCTGTAGCCTGTTTCTCTCACAATAAAGTGACATTCTAGTAGTTGTTCATTGATATCTGCATTTTGGCATTTGAGGTGCGGTGAAGGATAGAGTTTGATCTAGAGATAAATCGTAAGGAAATATAATCACTCACTCTGTTATTTAATGTCTACCCATTCTAAACCATTGTATGATATTTGAATTCGTAAGCTGTTCTTGTAGTAATATGGATGATGTACAACAAATCTGTATTTTAATGGTGTACGTATGGGCATCAATAGATCCAATCCGATATAGTCACCAGCATGTATATCTATTGACATCATTAATTAATGTATTTACATATATGTTCTTATTCTTTACTCTGTATTGATTTCCAAGAGGTCATATCATTATCATCTACAGCATGTGCATAGAAATGTTCTTGATAATGATCTGTGATATAGTCATCATGCATCTGTTTGGATGTCTGTATGCCAACAGTTGGATTATAAGAAAATAGTTGAATATCAGGTAATACTTGTTTGTTGGTCAAGAATAAGCACTGGTCACGTTTGCACGAGACTCTCGCATTGCGATCAAATAAACTATCTACATATGGCTTCAATAGCCCTGTGCCTTGCTTCTTTAAATGGTTGTAGAGTGTATTTAGGCCTAGATTCTATCATAAAAAAGAAGGTATTATGATCATACTTTTTTATATATCTTTTCGTTTCTTTATACCATATGCTCTATCTCTTTTACACCAAGTGTTTTCTTTAAAGATCCATGTCCTTCCAACTGATACGGAATTTGATTCATGTAGATTGTGAAATAGATGTCTGCATATTCATTCGCATCATATTTACCAATAAATTGAGAAGCCATCTCTTTTGCTATAAATGTGCCTGATCCCATATTGACATAACATGCATGAAGTTGAATATCTATTTTTTAAAGTCAACATTCATTCACTCTTTTCTTTCAGTATCTTTTTACCTTCATTCGAAAAGCAGTATCTCCATTGTGAATCAACATAGGCATCATGACTACCAGATTCTCCATGAATCAATTGTGGCGACTTTAAAAAGTTGGCGTAAACACTCCTCAGACTCTGACCATCATTGAGCGTATCTTGAAAAAAGCAGTACGGTGTCTTTGCTGCATGACATGCGTAGTATCGTGCACCAGGACCCTTTCTTGAGAATGGATGATTTATCACAGCTAATGGACGTGAACAACCTTTGATCTAGAGCTGTGTTAATTCATTGTGGTTTTGTTCAATAATAATAACTTACATCCAATTCATTATTGTTGTTGTTACTATTATCATTCCAGACGATAAAACTATGAAACATGTCATACTCACAGAGACGCTTCACAATAGATTCTGCCGTATGTTTATCAAATGTACTCACAATGGCTGTCACTTGCTGTCTTCCTTCATCAGGGTATACTTTCTCGAGCAGATCGACTTCTTCCAACACAAAACTATCGTCATAGTGATCATGTTGCCAATCTTGGTACTTTTTTCCACTAAAGAATCCCACATGGACAAGCAAGAAAATACAACTTGCCAAGATACCAAAACTTATGAGTACCAATTCAATAGGTGTTGACCGTTGATACCGTTTGATCAGCCGTCGTTTGCAAAGTGACAGGCATTTTCGAAATTTACTTTCCTGCCACAGTCTTTGAAAGTAGCTTGGTATTCGATGTTGAAAAGGATCAGAGCTGATATTGATTTGTATGCCTCGTAATGTTGTATTTGGTGAACGTTGAGATGAAAAGAAGCTACTGTCTTGTCGCATTTATTTAATAATATTAAAAAAAGGGTGGGTAAAAATATACTTGTAACTCTTATTTTCTAATCAAAGTCGTAGTTTTAAAGGAAAGGGAAAAGGACTTCTGTAATGTAGAAATAAGATACGAACCATCCTTCTTTGTTTATATTGAATCAATACAGTCTAAAGACCGCTTCTTTTCAAAAATGCTTTCAGAACTTTACGATTGATCTATTACCAAGAAAAGATAAACGGTAAACGATATCAAACTACGGGTTTACTTTTCAGAATGGTTGTATTAAAAATAGCACTCATCCTTTATATTACAAACCTTTCCCTTCTCTCTTTTTTTAACAGCACTAAAGGATATATATATAAAATCAAGACACAAGCGCATATGTATATGTATATACATATAAATATGTGTGTGTATGTGTATAAAAGTTGTATATACGTGTTATATATGTATATGTGTACGTATGAGTGTTTTTGTATTAAAATTCTCTTTTTTTAAAAGTTATCAGCCAAGTAGTTTTCTTCTTCAATAAAACTAGCAACAACTGTTCTATCAGCAAATTTTCGTCCGGCAAGAGCGCGTAATGCATTCAATGTTTCGTCTTGTGTCTCATATCTTACAAAAATCTATTTATACAGGTTTATAATGGAACATTAAGCTATTTCAATAATACTTACTAAACCACAACCAGGCACAAGTGTTCCTTCATGAGGTCGAGGGATCTTCATGTCTATTATATTACCATACTTTGAGCATTCTTCTGCGATATCTTCCCAAATGTCTGATGAAAAGGTTAGATATATAATAAACAGATACTATTATATTTCATACCTTTATATTCTTCATCGTCCTCTAATTCTTCAGGCGAAACCATGTTCATGAGTTGTAATACTCGAGTGGCATCTTCATCTCTAGCACTTGTTACAGGAACATAATTGGCGGGTAAGATAGGTCCAGACATGTAATCAGGAGGAATATGCTTAGCGCCCACGCTAGCACGCTGTACGATTAATTTACGATCACCCAACTCCATATTATTCAATCCTTGACAGGCCAGATCTGTGACACTAGGATCAGCATATTCACAGAAAGCAAAACCCTTGTTTGCACCGGTCGTGGCGTCCTTGACGAGGTTGAATGCACGCAACTCACCAAATGATTTCAACAATTCAATGACCTGATCGTCATTCAAGTATATTGGCAGACCACCAATAAAGATCTTGTTGGGTGTATCAGGCACGTTCGTTGAGATGACACCTGGTAACTGCAATGACGAGGTGTCTACTACTTCTGGAGCTGGTTGATAATCCTTGGGTCTACGAATCTTGAGTTGTTGTCCCTGGAACATGATACCGTCAAAGGACATACAGGCAGTAGCCTGCTCGGCTGTTTCGAATTCAACAAAAGCATAGTTCTTCTCATGGTTGATCTGTACTGACACAACAGGCGTTCGGTCTCTCATTTTGAGTTGATGCATGGTCGCATTAAAGAAATCGGCCAATGCATTCTCTTCAAGCCCTAATGGGATCTGACCGACATATAGACGCTTTGCTTGCTTGGTTAATGTGGTATTCACGATGGCTCTGTCGTCAAACTTGTGATTGACAGGTGGAGGCTGGAATGATTGGGGTGTACGTGTACCAACGACTTGGCCAGGTAATGGGAATAATCCTGTCATCTTGACTTGTTGCGCAGTCATACCTTCCATGCCAGCAGGGGCCATATCCCAATTATGCAGCCTTCTGGGTCTTTTACTTAAAGGCACAATATTTTCATCATCGCGGCGACGTATGGGGCTGATGCTTCTTCGTCGACTATGACGACGAGGGCTGATACTGCGTCTACGTCGGTGATAGTCTCTTTCTTCTCTTCGGTGGCGGCGAGGAGAGCGCTCACGGCGGTCTCTTGACCTTCTGCGTCTCTCTCGGTCTCTGTCTCTGTCCCTGTCATCGCGCGATCTGTCATGGTAGCGTTCTCGACTGCTGTGACGTCTGCGTTCTCTGTCCATTTCTCTGTCATCTCTTCGACGATAATCTTCAGCATGGTAATCACCATAACGACCTGAAGGACAGAAAGTTAATGATTACAAAGTTTATATATTTTTTTTAACATCTATATATACCTTGTGATTCATGTCCATAATGATTATCACCAGATCCATGAAGTTCTTGGCCGACAGAACTCAAGAAGGAATTAGCTAGATCAGCAGCAGATTGCTGTGAAGGGTCTATTATGTTTTATAAACAACAAATTAGTATATAAACAGCTTGTTTACCCATGGGAAAATGTATAATTAAACTTTACGTGATTGGTCTCTATTCCATCCATAAGACATTGTATATAAATAATACTTCTTTCTATTATTTTTGGTTTATGGCTTTTTTTATATAATAATAAAAAAGTGAATTGCGTTTAAGCAAAAAAAAAAAAAAAAAAAGACAAAAATCTTTTTGAAAGGGATGTTGACGCTGTATATTTCAATGTCCGTTCTTTGATTGAAAAAGAGCTCTTGTAGTGGCTGCGGAAGTCTTTTAATTATATTTCAGTCTAAAAAGGAGATACTAGAAAAGAAAGAGAGAGTCATTAAACAAACAAAAAAGGAAAAAAAAGGCCAAACATTGATGTTTTCCTAAAAAGTGAATCAATTCATCCTTTTGGATCATTTCATTCATTGCCTTTAAAGCAATAAAGGATCAGATTATCTAAATGAGAAAGAGTTAATATCAGCCTAATCCGATTATCTGGAATAAATGACTTCTATTCCAGTGAATATCAGATGAAAAAAAAAAAAAAAAAAAAAAAAAAAAAAAAAAAACGATTAGAGACCATCTTCTGGGATGACGCATACGCCTCAGATAAACTAGCACACGGGTAGCAATATAAATGAATTACAGTAACACAGAGAGAGAAAGAGAGAGAAAAAGAGAGAATCTTTCCAAATTATTGGGTTGTTGATACGTCACAATTCCCTCGTTTTGAAGTACGACTAGATTTATAATCAATACTCTTATCACACACACGCGTTTACTGTAGTGGACGTTAATAATAAAGAAACACTTATTAAAGAAAACACGTTGGTTCAACATTCCATCAATTGCACTCGACTATTAGTTGTGTCTAAACACAAGACAAAAGAAAATAAAGCTTGGAAGGAGCGGCTTTGTCTTTTTATGACACATCAAATGATAAGAAGCACTGCAAGATATTAAAACAAGGATTGGTGACTATGGAAGTTCTTATTGAAGAAAAAATACCTAGAGGATCCTTTTTGTCTCTTTGAAAGAAAAAATGCATTTAGAAACCCCCTTTGGGTCCATATCGCTCGTCTTGACTTCAAATCGTACAAGATAGTTTTTACAGTCTAGATTGACAGCAAGACACACCATTGAACAAAAGACTAATTGAGAGATGTTATATGGTCTTATCAATTGCACTTTGTGTAGAAGGCAGTTGTCACAGTGAAAGAGTGCTCACGAAGAAGAAAAGAGAACATTATGAGGAAAGACATGTAATATTCACAGCAAAGCGAAATGGAATGCTTTTGGGCATCTGGAAATCATTGATACGGTTTCCTACATCGATGCTTTGGCTAGTAAATCTTTGCCTTCAGTTTACAAATGTCGTAGAGGAGTGGATGATAAGTTTACTGACAGATTAGTTCAAAATATGAAGATATGATACGAAGCAGCTGTCAAGGCTAATGGCGACCTGACATAATACTAAGGGCACCTTTATTTTTATACAATGTTGAAATAAACAATTCAACCCTTCCTTTCTCGTGGTTTGATGTTCCAAGCCCAAGTATACACATATCAATCGGCCTTGAACTCATGTTCTTTCAAAAGTTTTACTATTGCTGAGACTGAATCAGCTGCAGAATTACTGCAAGTGCTTTGTAACTCAATGCGGTCTTTACCGAGAAAGAGAGAGAGAAAAAAGACTCCATTATACAAGGGAATGACATACTATCCTCATTTTCTCACAATGTATCTCTTTCTTTTGATTTTCTCAAAGCCATTATCACTTGTTATTATATCATCAAAGGAACGTTTTGAAGTTTTCTCAAGTTTAAGTTCCTTTTCTCCAATTTTCCGCTTTATTGTACCACTTTATCGTGCGACGTTATCAGATTGCAATGGCTATGGAATTGCCATTGATCTGATAATTTTACAAAGGTCAAACTAATAATAAAAGTAAAAATAAATAAAAAGAATCAGATATGTAGCTAGTATGCTTACGCAACGAGTGGCCAAAGCACCTAGTGTAATTCGTATCTTTTTTGAGTTATCTGGACTTAATCTTGACACTTCAAAAATGTGTAACACGTTAATATTATTGTTAATAAAATAGCTGGTCTCTATTTTCCGAGATACAGTTACACTTATAGATCTATAAAGGCGATCAGTGGAGATTGTGCGTGGATGATCCTGCTCGTTAAGTTGCCAAGAATTGCAATGTTTATAGTTCCAGGTAACTCTTGTTTAGTAAAGTTTGTATTAACTTTTTTCTTTAGTTTCTTTATGACACTTTTTTTTTTTCAGTGATTAACCAACTACTTTCTCCTGTTTGCTACAAAAGATAAAGGAAGACACTTTGCTTATCATTTTTTCTTTATTGAAACTATTTTGCCAAAAATGGGCATTTAAGGCTCTCCGCGGTACATTCAAACATTCGAGTAACATTAATCTTACAAACCGGTTCATGTATTGGGAAAATCGTTTCATTTGAATCGAATGCAATATCAACCTGATAAAACAGTAATTATGTTTTTATTTGCATGCTTTAGTGCCTTTTTTATATACTTGTCGTTGTCACACGACAAGAGAGATCAAGCATATAAAAGAACACATCTGTTGTATGCAAACAACTTTATATTCATTCCATTTTTTAATACAAGTCATGGTCCAATTCCTCTCTTTAACTTCTATCACTGCTCTTTTGCTTCTCTCTGCTGGAATAAACAATGTCTCTGCTGCTGCTACCAACACTTGTGTTGTCGCTAAGAGTAGCTCTGATGATGCTATTACTATTGCCGAGGCATTTGAAAAATGTAAGACGGGTGGTACTGTCACTTTCTCCAAAGGCACAACTTACAACTTGAAGAGTGTTGTCACTATCTCTGGCCTCAAGAATGTCAACATTAACCTTGCTGGTACTATCAGTTTACCTGCTCGTAGCTCTTCTTGGCAAAATGGAGACCATTACATTCAATTGAAGGGCGATAATATCAAGATGTATGGTGGCGGCACCATTAATGGTAATGGCCAAGCTTGGTAAGTTTTTCTTTGTTTTACAGCCATTTCATTGATTCACCCTGTATCGCTTTTAGGTACGATGCTGAAGATCACACTGCACCTACTGTTCTCCGCATTTCTGCTACCAACTCAAATATTGGTAGCTTCAGTATTATCAATGCTCCTAGAGCGCACCTTGGCGTCACTAACTCTCAAAATCTCGTCTTGGACAACATCACGCTTAACACTGCCTCTACAAGCAGTAAGCTCGCCAAAAACACGGATGCCTTGGACGTTTCTTCTTCTTCTGGTATCATTTTTCAAAACTCTCATCTCACTGTTGGTGATGACTGTACTGCTATCAACGGAGGCGTGACCAACATCACTCTGTCCAACATCATCTGTAACGGTGGCCATGGCTTCAGTGTTGGCTCTCTCGGTAAGGGTGGTAAGCAAGAAACCGTCAAGATGGTTCGTGTTTACGACAGTACCTGTAATAACTGCCAGAATGGTGTCAGAATCAAGACCTGGCCCGGTGGTAAGGGTTCCGTCTCTGATGTCATTTACAAGAATGTTCACCTCAACAATGTCGATAACCCTGTTATTGTCACCACTCATTACTGTGACAAGAACCAGATGTCTTATTGTAATAGTAATGATGCTAGTTCCTTGTCCATCAGCGACGTTACTTTCAATACCATCACTGGGTAAGCTAAAAATCAAAATCATGCTTCTCTCTCTTTAACCTATTTTCTTTGTAGTTCTGCTTCTAGTGCTGGTAATCCTATCCTCAACGTCAATTGCTCCACTAAGACTCCATGCACAGACTTTACCATCAGCGGTCTTACTGTTACCAAGGCTTCCAAGACTCCCAAGAACGTTTGCGTTAACTTGTCAGGATCAAGCAGTATTGCTGCTTGTTCCTCTTAAGTTTTATTAAGGCATTAATTTATAAATCAATAAAAAAAGGAAATTGATATTTATATGAACAAAATTGTAAGCAAAAAACCAGAAAAAAAGGTTAAATAATCAACTAATGAGCTGAAGGAGAGATCCCTTTTGTGGGTTCAGAAAGAAAGACATCAGGTGTTTGTCTGACAACGTCATTCGTTGATGGTGCATGGGTTGTATAAATAGGTGGTGCCTGAACTTCTCTATATTGATTTTCAATCTTATCCCAATCGACTTGCATCACCTCTTCTCCTCCTTTTGATTCTCGTTTACGGCGCATAAAGAAAAAGATAGTACCTGCAATAGCTGCAACCTGTCAAGTATATATAAGTCAGGATGTGGGATATATGCTTATTTTCATTACTTACTCCCAATACACAGCCGATAGCAATACCAGCCTTGGCTCCACTGCTTAAGTCTGTACGAGCAGGTTCTGCTATTGAGGTGTTATTATTATTATTATTATTGTTGTTGTTGGGGTTGCTTGGGTTGCTAACTGTAGCAGGAAGCAAAGGATAGGTAGGTGTATATTGAATGTTGGATACATTGGAAATATCAAATGTGAGCAGATTTGGACTGCCATTGCCATTGATATCACTACCAAACAAGATAAACAATGTCGTGTTTACCAAAACGGCTACAAATACCAAAAAAAAAAAGGATAAGTCATATCTTTAATCTCTTTTTCTTTGGGGGGATAATTTACCTGAATGTCCATATCGAACACCACTTGCTGATACAGAGGTAGGAACAGTAACATTGACTTGATTTGTCCATTCGTAAGTGGTTAAGTCAAGTGTATAACAGAAATCCGTGAGACCTAATTCAAACAAAGTAGTTAGAAAAAGAGAGAGAAAAAGATTGATAAACCCCTATTTACCAATTCTTCCATCGTTTGTTCCACCATACAAAAGGATGTGATCTGAATTGGGCACTATGTGTATATATCAAATCATTAAGTCCTACTCCCCCTTGTTTGTGATTAATTAAGATCTTACATAAAGTAGTCGTATGATAGATTCTGTCGGAAGGTACACCGCTACCAATAGTTGCAGAAAGTGGCTGTAAACTCCAAGTACCTTGGATGGTGTTGAATATATATGTTTTACTAAAAGGGAATCGGATAGGTCCATAGTTTGTATGCGTATAATAACTTCCACCAAAGTAGTAAATTCTGCCAGTCCTAGGATTAAATGTTGCTGATTGAGAATTGGGATAGAAATCTGGATCTGGGAATGCTTGCTGAGGGGAAAAGTAGCTCCATGTCTATATTGCAGAGAGATATTTAGACATTAAAGTGCATCTAGTTTTTACATGATTTTACCTGTGAAGTGATATTGAATACCGTCAAAGAATCAAATCCTCTGATGGATGTTCCGTTATTTATATTAGTGATGTTTTGTCCAGTTGAAGAAATCATGGGAACAGTTGTGGAAGGTAAACTACATAGTATTAGTATATTAATCAGTCCTTGTTAGTTTTTATAGATTACCTTTCATAGCCGCCATAGAATGCAGCTGTATCATTTGTTGCTGATATCAAGTTGATAGACGTGGCAAAGTAACTATCATGAAAAAGAGGAGAAGGTAAATAAAAAGCAGATAAAGTTAGGGTATACATATATACATTTGACGTCGAGGTCTATTAGGTTCGGAATAGGCTGGTAATGATTTCCAGGTATTGCTAACTGTGTCGTAGGCGATTGTTTGGTTGGTAAAGGGTGTGTTACTACTGAATCCTCCTATGATCACGATTTGATTTTGTTCTGGGAAAAAGACAGATTCTGGAGCTCGTCTAACTTCGACGTCAAAGTTATTACTGGCTATGACTTCGTTCCATTTGTTGTTGAAGGCACTGCTTTGTTGTCCATACATTTGTCCAATATCAAGTACGTATAAGCGACCCTCCGGTCGGAATACATTAAAGATGTTTGATATATCTCCACCATAGCAATATATTTTATTACTTATGTATCCACAAGCTATATTTATAAATGACAGGGGAATTGGTCAAGGTACGGTTGATACATTTTTCATCTCAATTTTTACATGAAAGTACTCGAGAGTTGAGAACGTTTGCCTTAACTGATGCACTAATGGCAAGTAATCCGAGAATGTGTACAATTTGCATGCTTTGGTATTTGTACTCTCTCGTTCTCTTAGAGTAAAGAAAGGAAAAAAGAAGGATTAGTAAGAAAACAATTTATACTTGTGCATATTAGATACATGGTATGACGAGGCGCAGTTTTTTGTGCCCATCTACATACAGATGGTGACCCAGATTTGGTAGGCTTTGTTAAGCCATACAAACTTGTTCCTAAATAGAACAAGGTTCCCTCTAAAAATAAAAGGGGAGCTTACCACAATGGGCTGGTGCTAATACTAATTGGAAATAATAGAAAGAAATGGCTTTTCCCATTGCTATTATAAACCTTTGTCTTCTTCTCCCCCTTTTCTAGTGCAACTATGAATAATTGGAATGGTGTCCCCTGTTTCACGAACTGTTTATTATCGGAGCTCAAGGTATTTGCGCGCAGAGCAGCGGTCATTTTTTTTTTATCCATGAGCTATACTTACACTCATGTCTCGCCTTTTCAAGTTCTTCAGCGAGATCCTACAACAAACAGTGCTCAGGTCATCGTTGACAACAAGACAGTGGATCTACCTGTAGGCGGTCCTTATACGATAAATGATTGTCATAATGTATTTGTTGGCGACATTTGGATCATGGCAGGTCAAAGTAACATGCGTGGTCATGGATTCCTAAAGAATCCTTTCACCCATCAACCTCTTTACCTCCCTTCCTTACCTCATGTGTGCTTGTACGATTCAACCGAGCATTGGAGAAAAGCGTCTGAGCCTACTCATCAACTATTTGCGTCACCACGAGCTGTACATAATACCTTACCTGATCCCACTGTGGCAAACCCACAGCTTTTACAGTTTAGAGGAGCCTCTCTCGGCCTAGCTTTTGCTCAAGAATATCAAAAGCTGAATGAGAATGTTCCTGTTGGATTAGTAGCCTGTGCTCACGGAGGCACTTCGCTTCATGATTGGCAACGACCTACCGAAATAAACCAAAATACGGTCCAGACAACACTGTATGGCGCCATGATTGATAAAATTCGTGCGGTTGGAAGCCACATTGCTGGTGTACTCTGGTATCAAGGGGAATCGGACGCAGTCAGCCTTGAGCTATCAAGAACCTACGAGGAAAGGTTCCAACTCTGGCTTGATCTTTTACGATCAGATACGCGTTCGGACCTACCAATCGCCTTTGTCCAGATCGGTACTCATCGTCTTGATCGAGAAGAGGCGGTGAAGGGGTGGCGAAATGTGCAAGAATGCCAATGGAAACTGTTTGGATACAAATCGACTACAGCAGGGGTTGCAAGTCTAGACTGTTCCTTGGATGACAGGGTGCATCTCTCTGCTTCTGGACTGCAGACAGTTGGACGACGTTTGGCACGGGCAGCGATCCAAGCGATGCAAAAGAAAGCAGAGTTAGCCACGCCGATATGTGAATCTGCAACATATGAGCAGGTTGATCTCATTTCGACCTCGGTGTACTCTATTAGGCTTTCGTTCAGCCAAATGGATGATGAATGGGACGATCAAAAAAGTGTGCAAGGGTTTGAAATTGAAAACTGTGCGAATGGCACTAGTATTATTGACGCAAAAATAGAAGGTAAGGACATTCGATTGTATCTTTCGCACAAACCTACTGCGACAGGGGCGATATATGTAAAATATGGCATGAGTTCTCAGCTATCACCAAACCTTGTCACAAAGCGTGGCTCTGCTTTGCCTGCTTTTAAGAAACTTCCAGTAAATAATAATAAATGATCATATTAACTATAGATTGTTATCCTCTTTGTTTAAACGGTAAAACTATTTGGTTGACTTTACTCAAAGTAGCTCACTGCAATTGCATAATATAATGAAGAATTAAGCTAAAATGTCATCTAAAGAAGCGTATTCTATTGATAAGTAATAGAAGATGGCGTGGTTTATTGTCATTGGTATGTAGTGTATGTAAATATATGTTTGCTTGAGTGTGGAATATATACAGAATTGTTACAGCATTAAGGTGTTGAGGTTTTCGTTTAAAATAATGTCAGATACTGCTGTCATGACGTTGTCTAAGAGACGTCCGTCGGTCGCGTCCGTACAATGAATATATAAACGCTTATTACTGTTTTGATTTAACCTGTGAAATCGTCTCTTGAAATATCCAACGGTTTGATCAAAACTATCATCATTGCCTATTAAGAGGTTTAATAAAAGAAAAAAGAATTATAAAGTTTACCTTCAAAGTCTGGAAACCATTTTGAAACAGGGGATATGCGTATCTTTTTTTTAAATATGTCTATCTTGTTTAAGAATAAGATCACTGACGTATTCTTGAACCAGACTGAATTACAGATACTGTCAAATAACATGAGCGACTCATGCATTTGATTCTATTGCAAGAAAAAAAGGTTGGCTTATGTTTTCTTTCATATACATTTTACTTACTGAATCCTTATCTTCAACTAAGCATTGATCATAACCACTGATTGCTACCACGAATAGAACAGCTGTGACATTTTCAAAACAGTGTATCCATTTTTTCCGCTCACTCCTTTGTCCGCCAACGTCAAACATGCGGTAGGTTAAAGGTCCGATATGGAACGTTGTCTCGACAATTCCTGTGGTTTTAGCTCTACACCTAACAATATCTTGATCTGTTGGCATATATCCAGGTTCCCAGAATCTGTCTAGTTGTGAAAAGAAACTATACAAAAAAAGAGAAAGGGAGGTTAAACAATCGAGCTGTTTGCTATCAACAAAAAAAATTACTAGATTGCATTGTCGTGTAACGCAAACATGGTGTTGGCTTCACTTCTCGCGCGTTGTACACCGGCATCTGCCCAAAGAATTTTTAATGGTTCTAAAAATGACGCTGGATATGGTTCTCGTTGTCCTAATTGTCTGACATCTTGTATTAAAGGCATATATTGCTAATACGTGAATTTAAAAATAATGTGGGACACTGTAGTCTTCACTTACTGCATTGGACTCATGCTCAAAAGGTATACTTAATAACTGCATAGCTTCAAATATTGTTTGCATTTCCATAATGATGTTTGAAAATACAACGATTCGATAACTTTCTCTTTCGCTATCATCAAATCCTGAAGCATGGAGCAAACGTAACTGCTTTATCAAAGTTGACTTTCCAGATTCTCCCGCTCCTAATAACAAAGGAATGTTTTAAGTAATGAAAAATCAAGGATAATATCTACCTAACAATAGCACTTTGACTTCACTCTTCATCTTTTTCTCATCTGCCTTGATCTGCTTGTCTATGCTCTTGCTTCGTTGCACTTCAGGGTCATTCTTACTAGGTTTAACTAGACTAATACAAGCACCCATGGCTTTTTATAAAAAAAAAAAAAAAAAAGAGGTAGAAAAAGGAATGATCGTAAATTTAAAGGGAATTTATGCAATGTATCTTTATCCAATTATATTTTGTAACAGATTTCTGCAATATGCAAGTAAATAAGCCGCATACTGTTTACACGCACACAAGTGAAATTTCCCCTGAACATTCTTTTGTGAGACACTCAGAGAATGATACATAATAGTATCTTTTTTGGTAATAAATCTTTCTGCAAGGAGTCCTTTAAAGGTTATTTTAAACAGTTTATTAAGAAAAAAAAATCAGTTCCGTTCAAAATGCAAAGACGATAGGAAGTTGCTATGGTCCAGTTCAAAGATGCTGACGACTGTAGTGGTATGCCACGGAGTGTCATCGATAACGCAACTTCGGCGATGTCTCCATAGAGTATCTATACCCGAACCAAAGAAGCTAAGAACATCTATATCCACTGTGTTTTTCTCGTCTACCTGAAAAAAGAAAGTGAGCACTGACCATATTTCGTCAGCATTGAGGAACTTGTCTGTTAGAGAGTATCGCGGGAGGATTGAAAACCAAAAGTTGAGTTTGAGAGGGCAGCTTATAAAGAGGTGGAAAAGCGGTTTGGTGCCCGTTTGGCAGAGTCTTCACAGCGGAGAGGGATACAGGCTGGGATTCCAGGTATACTGTAAAGTAGCCGTAGGGACATGGCCATGTAACAGGTAAAAACATGGTGTGAGGACCTTAGCTGACATATTCAGAGGACCAAATGTTCGCCAATAATGAGGTTGGAGAAGCAGAAGACGAGACATGGTCAAAGGTGGGTGTCGAAAGTGTGTAAGCAAATTATGGTCTTCGTACCAGAAGAATCAGCTAGCCTATTGAACACGGTTTGTATTTTTTTTCCTATCAACATCACGCGCAATAGTTCATATGTAGGGAATACCTAAGCTACCTACATAATACATTGCCTTGAAATCCAAGTTATGACGTGTCCATATTGTGATATTCTACTACAGGAGATAGAGGAACAACTTCATTTATAGGAAGGGCAGGAAATTCCACGGCCATAGCCTGATACTTGTCCTCAATATCACTACCCAAGCCCACGTGCAACAGAACCCAAGTCTCATGTCCTTCCTTGACATTGCTCAAGCTGACTTCCGGAAGACTGGTAATTTCGGCCCTTGCTATTCTAGAGGGACGATAAATAGGCCCAGGTGAAGCGCACGCTTTTGCCACTAATGCGGCAGATGATTCTTGCTGTAATCTAGAAAAGCGTACTATCATAGTCAATATTCCAGTCTCTGGGCTGTAAGTTGGAATATCCAAGCCATTGAATGTTCGGATATAGTCTAGATTACCAGACAACTGTACGAGCACAGGATCATTGTGATTCAAGAGGTTATAAGCAAAGGTTTTTTGAAAGTCTGAGTGGCTCCAATCGTCAAAGCCAATGTGCAATGAACAAAGAGAGTGGTCTTTCTATATATGGTTGTCAGAATGAGTAAACGTTTATCATTTATCTGCTAAACTCTTATTACCTCTCCTCAAAAAATACATGCAAATGGAACATGGAAGCCTCATCTTCAGGATTCATATACATGTGCTTGGGAAATACAATCCCGTTTTTAACAGTGGTTATGAGAGAGTTATCTATTTGAATGAGAATAAAAAAAGAAAGAAAGAAAGAAAGAAAGAAAGAAAGAAGAAAAGGATGTCAACGACTAAATACAAAGAACAAAACTGGCAACTATAAAAAGTTATGGCAGGAACATAAAGATCTTCAAACATGATAACGTTATACAGTCAAAGTATATATTGAAAAATATACAAGTAGAGAAAGCAAGATTCAATTTTGTGTACTTTATTGTATAATTGGCAGCAAGGATAGTAGTACAAGTCAGTTTCTGTTAGTATCCGTTATGTTTGTTTCAGGTAATAAAAAGTGTAATTATCTTTAAACCAAAAAACTCGCATCATTTAAGCCAATAAAAGACGTGTTTATTGACCTTACTATACGAAAATCTTCTTTGACTCCTCTTCGTAATCTTGTTATTGTTTTTTCCTTTGTAGTAATTTGTTTGGCTTTCAACGTCAAACTTGCATTGGCCCTACCGTTGGGCTCGTCTCAGAAGGCAACAGATGCATCGCCTATGATAACGCTTTTAAGCTAATCTACTATTTTGTAATAAGCCATCTGTACTTGCCCTTAACTGAATGAACCGAGTTCACATGAAAATTTCGAATCATATATTCAATTAAGCCGGGGTGATAGCTTACAATAACCGTGGAATAACCTTGACTGCTGATATTCATTCTTGTACTCATTCCGCCTTTTTGTAAAGCGTGATGACGAGAGCAGAAGTAACAGTCAATTTGTAGCTTCAGCAATCAGACGCATGATAAAGTTTCAAAAAAAAATTGACAAGGATTCTGACAACTTTTTCAAATGGAAAACACTACATGCACTAGAAGTTAGATTAATCCTATGGACATTGCCTCCAGATATTGCCTATGATATAGTCCAACAAAACTTTTTATTATGCAGCATCAAGCTAAACACGACTTATAGAGTAACCAACTTGTTTTGTTTCTTTTCAAAAAAAACAGGGACCCGCTTGGTTCACGTGTAATTATAATAATTCGTATTTTGCATTATTCCACTGGACAGTCTCACATGTATAGGAGAAGAAGTGCCTGTAGCATTAGCTTATTTTCTGGTGCATGTAGTGTTTGCCTTTTAAAAAATACCTACAACATTTCAATCGAAGAAAGCATACTTTCTTAGGTTTGTAGTCCGTGATGGTCATCATCAGATTGTCTTTTCCTTGTTTCATTTGCATCGCAGTGATCTCATTCTCTGTCTTTGTAGCATCTTTAACATATTTTGTGAAGTAGAGTTGATAGTTGTTACATAATCGAAAGTATTACCCAAAATATCTATACAGTGTATCAGAATAATCAGATACATGCAATGGAACTGTCATTGACGTACTGCTACTCTGTAATAGATAGAAGAACTTATTCCGAGGATCAGTAAAGAGATGATGTAAGGCACTTTCCTTATTGCTTGTGCTAGGGTTGATACCTACAAATAGAATAGATGCATCATGTAAAAGTAAATCTTTAATCGTGTACTACCTGTGATGTCGTCAACAAACCGTTTCAATGTATGGTACCAAGCTAAACTTGTTCAGGGAGCAGATTATTTTCTATGCTCCTTGCTGTAGAACACGAATTTATTTTGTTTTGTGTCTTTTCAAGAAGAAAGAAATAAAATGTGGTTATTTATTTATTTATTCTAGTTTTATGTTGTCAGTTTGATCAACAAAGAACCAAAATTATACAGGTGTAATAATAATGTGATATCACAGGTAGCGTCCCCAGGTAAAATACAGGTCTTAAGCTTTGTAGTATTATTTTTTTTTTATAAGGGAGCACTGGTGAGCCAGTAGTCCGGGTTTTATTTAAAGTCAACTTGACCAATATAATTTATAAAGGAAGTGAGACTGATGCTAAAATGAAGATTTTTTTTTTTGAAATATGCAAATGATGAGTAGTGTGCAGCTTTGTAGTATTAACACACACGTCGCAGAAACTGATGGGATCTGTCCAATAAAATAACGTGGTTTATGTCGGCCCATTTGGGTCAATCATTAGTTTAATATTACAAGACTAACGCAGTTGCTTTTCCCTTTTTCTTTTTTTCCATCACTTCCCTACGGCAATAGTGAAGTCTTTTCTAGCTACAATTTCTACGAATATATTGTATGTACTCAGGTCTTCAAGAAGTCCACCCTCTATCTCCCCTTCCATTCTACTATATGTGTCCCTGTTCTTTATCTTTTGTAAATAAAGTCATTTCATTGGCTAGCGATTTTTTTTTTTCTGTTACTGGGCCTCCCAACAAAAAATCTGTCAACTGTTTTTCTTTTTTCTGCAGCAATGTTCTTTTCTTCTTCTTATTGTCGCACTGCTTTTTCCTTCAATGCTCCAAAGATCTTGAGATCGTCTTTTGCATCAGTCTCAGCATCTATATCCGAAACTACAGCAAAAGCAACAAGAAAGAAAAGACTGATCATTGACAATAGATCTCCTTCATTAAGTGATTTCTTAGCACAGACAGTACCTAAAAAGAAGCTAGATGCAGCCTTGATTAAACCTGATAGTGTTCCTTATTTGCAAACACAAAGCGAGAATTTGGGAAAGGGGAGAAAGTTTTATATCGAGGTTTATGGATGTCAGGTAGGCAATTTCTTGACAGTTTAGAGAAAGGGGAAGCTTAGTTTTCTTTAATAGATGAACGTCAATGATACAGAAATATTGAATTCAATCATGACCAAAACTGGATATCAACGAACAGATCGCTTAGATGATGCCAACGTTGTGTTTCTTGTCACTGTAAGTTGTACGGGATGTGCTTTAGATAAACAGTCACTCACAGTAACAAAAGTGTGCAATCAGAGATAATGCAGAGGTCAGGATATGGGAGCGATTGAAGTACTTGCGCCACTACAAGACAAAGATCAATCTAGATTCACCTCCTATTGTTGGTGTATTGGGTGTAAGTAAGAAATAGTCGGGAAAAGGTAAACAGAACTGATTATTGTGTAGTGTATGGCTGAGAGATTAAAGAGCAAACTACTTGAAGAAGATCGACTTGTGGATATTGTGTGTGGTCCAGATGGTTATAGATCTATTCCTCATCTTATTTCTTTAGCAGAGGATGAATATGATGGAGTGGCTAATGTGATGTTATCAGCAGATGAAACTTATGCAGATATCATGCCAATGCGCTTAGATATGGATAACGTCTCTGGATGGGTGTCTATTATGCGAGGATGTAATAATATGTGTGCTTTCTGTATTGTGCCATTTACAAGAGGCATCGAACGAAGTAGACCGATTGATTCAATTCTAGATGAAGTGAGATATCTAAGTGATCAAGGGGTTAAAGAAGGTAAAAATTAAAAGATTAAGTGAGTACCTTTATCTGATCTTTCTTTCTTTATTAGTGACCGTGTTGGGCCAAAATGTCAATTGTAATAAGGAATATTATAAATAACAAATGAGATTAACATAGATTTTAATAGCTTATAGGGATGAATCAGAGTCAAAATACTTTATGTCTAGCAGTGGCGTTGGATCTCAATTGAGTAACTCTGGATTTAAAACAATCTATAAACGAAAGAAAGGTGGTAGACGTTTTACTGAACTGCTAGATAGAGTGAGTTTGATTAACCCAGAGGTAATAGAGATATACAAATAAAGGTTACATTGGAGATTGACTGATATACATATATAGATGCGTATACGATTTACATCACCACATCCAAAAGACTTTCCAACGGATCTACTACACTTGATCGCAGAACGACCCAATATTTGTAATTCAATTCACCTGCCTATTCAATCAGGCAGTAATACCGTACTCGAAAGAATGCGTAGAGGATACACTAGAGAAGCTTATTTGGATCTTGTGGCAGAAATGAGAAGGATTATACCAGATGTTTGGATCAGCAGTGACTTCATTACCGGCTTCTGTGGGGAGACTGAGCAGGAACATCGAGATACGGTGCGTTTGATGGAACAAGTCAAATATGATACAGCCTTTATGTTTGCTTACAGGTAAAGAGGAAGAACATAGATTTACGAGCCCATTACTGACTTATTACAAGTATGCGAGAAAAGACCCATGCGCATCGTAAATATATAGATGATGTGGAGGAAGAAACAAAGAGCAGACGACTTCAAGAGATTGTTACCACATTCCACCGAGAGGCGTCCATAAAGAATCAAGCGTTGATTGGAACAACTCAGCTAGTGCTGATTGATTCAGACAGACCCAAGATAAAGTATGGAATAGAAGCAAAAATAAGTGGACGAACAGATGGCGGTCATAAGGTCTTTGTTCAACACGATGATAGTAAAGAGACGTTAAAAAAGGGAGATTATGTCAAAGTTCGTATTCTTCATGCTTCAAGTGCAAGCTTGACTGGATCATCCTTGGGTCCTTGCAGCATTCGTGAATTCAGTAGCGCCAAATAAAAAAATAGAATCTCTTTTTTCTCTCTCTCACTCACTCTCTCTTTCTCTAATGTCCAATAAAGCATCACACTTGAAACGCTTATATAAATTATTCTTAAAGACTGGTTATGCAGCAGTTGAAGGAACAGCTAAAAATCAAAAGCCAATGATCAAAGGTCTGATCAGACAAGGATTCGATCGTTATGTGTACTGTACAGATCCAACTATTCTAAGAGAACTAAGACCAAAAGGTACATTATTTTAATACACACACCTATATTCATATATATATTTGATAGTCGAAAATACTCTTGAACTTCTCAATCTTGCAGCCAAAAGAAATGGATATGAACGTGATATTGTTATTAATCTCTGTAGACTAAAATATCATTGGGATAAATATAATTTATAGTAATTAACACACATTATATGCATACTTTCATATATACTCATAAATAATATCTAGTCCGCCAGAGCAAGGTCGCAAAGTAAACAAGAACATTAAGGAAGTCTTTGATCGTTCATATGATGAATTTGTTCTTTTGAAGGAACAATTGAATAAAGACCTGAACTTGTGTCTTCCGTTATGAACCAAGTCACACGACTCTCTTTGTCATTCTTTTCTCTCTCTCTCTCATCTTAAAAATTACTGGTGATGGTAAAGTAAAATAACAAGACATGGTCAAAATCTAATACTTTCCCTTTTCCTTCTTTCCTTTTTATAGTCTGCCATATTCAACTTTCAGTCTTTACTTTTAGTCATTCTACTGACCATCTGCACTTGTACTTACATTCGAGCACAGGCACCTTCTTTATTGGATAGAAATAAAACTGGGTAAGAGCAAATGAGTATTAAAGAGACGGAAAAAACTAATAGATTATGTGTGTCTGTCTGTGTATCTGTTTTTGTCGGTGTAGTCTACTTGGCTTATTCTGGAAAGCAGCAAGAATAGGTGAAAGATTAAGCCCTTATGTTTCCCTTGCATGCATTGTGATGAGTATTACTTTAATGATTCATTAAAAATAAAGAATTATACAAAATATATTATTATTGATGGGAAGAAAGATGTTTGTCAATAACCTTTTTAAGCTCTTCTTCGTGATTGAATTCGTTACATTGAGCTTTCTTTTTCATTTCATCACAGAGAGAATCAATATCGAAGTCATGTTTTCCTTCCAACTTGTCCCATAGTTTAACCACTTCTTCAGCAGCGTCTGCTTGCTGGGGTATTGTTGTCGCTGCTGGTTTATCTAAGGGATAGAAGAAATCAAACTGTTTAGGATCCGCTGTGAAAATGCCATCTAGTGATGCATGGCCAAATAACTCTGAATGATCCAATAAGGCAGAAGAAGGTAAACTTGTGTCCAAGCCAAGGATGTCGTTTACATTCGTTGCCTCAGGTGTATGACTCGTTGATGAAGTTGAGGCAGTGCTACTGAAACTATCAAAGTGAGAAATAGGTGAAGAGGCTCGTACGATCTTTTGAGGTCGCTCTTCATCTTGAGTAACACTGTTGGATAAAGGATAGCTGAAAGAAGAAAGTAGAGCAGCATTTTCAGTCTGAAGCTTGGTGATCATCTCCTTCAACATCTTATTTTCCTTTTGAAGCTCTGTGCTTTGTTCAGCATTCAACTTTTCCAACTCTTTTACTTTTTCTTCCAATAGTCGAACATGGTTCTCTTTTCTTTCTCTAAAAGCTCTTTGTGCTGCTCTGTTTTGAGCCTTTCTCTTGCTTTTAGGATCATCGGACTATATGATATTATTCAAGTTAATAGAAAAGTATATTATTTATATATCCATCATATTACATCTTCATCTTCACTTGTCACTGGTTTTCTTCCTACTCTTCTGGTTGGTGAAGACTCTTTCTTGTCATTGCCACTCATGGAATCAAATTTACGCTTCTCTGTTTCATTAGGCGATGAAACAGAAGAATCGGGTGTTAAGGGAACTGTGGCAGTGGGAGAACTTGCATTATTATTAGTGGATAATAAAGCCATGAGAAGCATAGTTTGTGCTTCTGGATTATCTTTTAAAAAAGAGATATCAGGGTTATTACCCTGTTGGGCAATCTTGGATACAATATCTGCAAATATGTTGTTGTTGTTGTTATCCTCCATTATAGAAAAAAAAAGGTGAAAAAAAAGTTAAAAAAAGGGAAGAAAAAAGAAAGTAACAATTACAAATCACACAGTACCACACTTTAACTAGGCGGTGACTGAATTCAGCCAATAAAAAACAGCAAAGTGCGACCGTTCTTCACTGAATCAAAAAGAGCTTACAACTTTACACAACTGAATAGAAGAAAAACTCTTCTTTATTTAAGCACTGGTAAAAGAAGGAATATTAAAAATCATATATTGATATTCTCTTAAGTCATCACAAATAATAAAGCCATCACTTATAAATTATGCACATTTATGAAATGTTTTTCTGGTTCTTAAGGCAATACAAGGCTTCAATGAACAGACATACTGACAACGGAAACGCTTTTTTGGTTTGATGGTATTATATATATTGATCTATTGAATTTGGATGAAGCTAAGGTGACTTTCTGTCTTAATTCGGCTCGTATTGCAATTTGATCATAGTCTTTGGATTTCAAGCTCATGATAGGTATTGATTAGATTAACAAATATAGATAACTCATGATTGAAATGAAGTCACCAGTTCCTGACCAGTTTCTTTCTTAAAGTCCATTGCACATCCATCGTTTTACAACTGTAGTAATAATGAACTTATGTAATCACTTGCATGTATAAAACAATCATTTTTTTTACACTGTCACTTTATTTGATTCATTCTACTTGTTGCTGATTGCTATCGTCTGTTATCATGTTTCCTTCTTCTTCTTCTCCTTCTTCTTGCTGTTGCTCTGCTGTTTGCATGTTTGAATTGTCTTTTGGTTGGTTCGATCCCTCGACGTTAAGCGTGGTTCCTTTTTGCTTTGACTTTTTTCTTCTTTGCAGAAATCCTTCATAATTAACAATAGGCATCATGTATTCATCTTCAACTACTTGTATTCCTGTTGTTTCCTTCAATATCTGATTTTCTGTAGCCATCAGTTTCTTCAAATTTTCCTCTACTGTTCTTGACTGCTGTGAATTGAGCTCTCGCACCTTTTGCGGATCATCAGGTCTTTTAATATAAATCTATTATAAAAGTGTCACATGGCGTATATATGGATGTTACATGTATACAATTTACAGGTGTTTGTCTAAAGGAATGCTTGCTTGGAAATGTAGGGAAATGAGATGCGACATAGCCAGGTCGTGTACTATCTCGCTCTACTTCTTCATCAGAGTCTTCATTATCAGAAGGCAAGAATTCAGGCGTGTTCTCTACCGTTGACTCGTTTGATCTTGTCGTCTTTAGATATTTTTTACTCTTTGAAGCTATTGAAAATATTATATTGCTTTGCTAGAGAGAGAGGTGATATTTTCAAGTTACCCAAGTTGATTATATTTGTCTTATGAACTGTATCGGATAAGTATTGTTCAAATGCTGATATGTCGACATTAGCAGAAAGTAGTGATTTCGTAATGTCATGAATGTTGGGTCTTGCACGGTTACCAAGTTCAGCGCATAAATGAGCTTTTATTAAGAGTCGTTCAAGATCTACAAGAGTGTGAGTCTAGGGCAAAAAAGGAAGAGACATGGTCACTCACAAGAACCGAGTAAATCGGTCAATGATTCTAATGCTGCAGGTTGAATTGCATCGAAGCCAGCTTCTTTTGCTATAATAGAAATAACTCGTTGGCTGATTTCCAAAGTAAAAGCATCTCCAAATGATCGCTTTCCATACATTATTAAAAAAGAACAAAAAAGTAACTAAAGAAAAGTCAAAGACTATTTATATTGAATTTTCTTTAAAAGCGTTGACTAACGTTGTTTTACGAGTCGCCTTTTTTTATATCTCTCTTAAAAAAAAAAGATGACAAGTTGGGAAACAATAGAGAAAAAAAAAAAAAAAAAAGAAAGAAAAGGACTGATAACACCACCAAGTTGTAGTCATTATTAATTTCTTTATGTACAAAATATTATTGATTATCTACACTGAACAATAAATTTCATAAAGCAGCATTTCGCGCTTTATTCAATCTTTTTTCCTTTTCTTGTGCTCTTGCTGCTCTTCTTTCTGCAGGAGAAACCAGCGTGCCTTGGTCAGTAAACCAAAAGTGAGTATCAAACTTGTATCTTAATTCATTCACAAGCCGACTTTCACTGTCGCCTTGCATCTTTTCTTGATCTTCGTGACTCCAATCGATCGTTTCATCCCACTTGCCTTGACTGAGACCTTGGATGAACTCATCCCATTCGTTATTTGTAAATGTCAAGTGTAGCTTTGATCCACTCAATTCCTTGGTCATCAAGAGCACGCCCTGGCCAACGACCTTGGTCAACTGCATCATTCGCTCACCGACCATAACGTTTCGTCTGAATGCGGCCCAGTTGGTCTCCGTCAAACGGGGTTCGATCCAGACACGATATGCTTTCATATTTACATTCCTTTCTCGATCTTTATCTCGTTCTGACACCAGGCTTTCAGCTTCATCTTCCAGCGAGCTTGGTGTGGCAATTTTTATGATCTCATTTGGAAATAGACGAGCAAATATGTTTTGGAACTGTACAAATGCAAGATACAATCTAAAGTAGTCATTATTATAGTAAATCCCGTTCTGGTTCATTCCATTGTCCAAGTGTGGCTTCATGTTCGAATGGTGTGTGAGGATCATCAGAGCAGGCATCAACAGTTTGCCTGCTTCGTCTGTATTGAGTTGATCTGCATCAAGGTCGTCCGGTAAACTGACTTGTTCGATCGCCAAACTAAAATCCTCAGGTAATCGCTGAGCCTTTTGTTCAAGGTCGGTGATCATGATGGTTCGCATTCGACTGATAATATCATCACCTATAAACATACAGTCAGAACCTTTTTCATTGCCCATCCATTCAAGACAGAGAGAGAGAGAGATCTTACGTCTTTGTTTAAATTCTCCATGTCGATGAGGTATCTTGGGTTTTTTGGGTGGTAAGATGGATAATTCATGATATTCCAAATCAGGTGTATGTTTTTTCCGTTTTCTCAATAGTGATGCTTGTGTGAGTACGCCTTGCTCGGCATATCTCTGTAACAGTGGCGGTTCTCTCGCGATTCTTCCGTCCTCATAATAAAATCCTCTCTGTTTTGGTTCCATGACTACGTCGATCCCAGGGCTTGACTCTGATGAACGATGGCTATGTATTGGTTCAGGAGACCAGGTAGTAGTAGTAGTAGTAGTAATATTATTAATGGTAGTATTTGGTCGTATATGCGTATAGGGTCTAACGGAGTATCGGTCTGTCATTGTTTCTTCTGATTTGGATATTAGTCTAGGTAGAGGTGCTGAAGAACTTGAAGGGTTTGTCAAGTAAGAAACAGAGAGTTGCTTTTGTTGTTGTGGTGGTGGTGGCTGCTGTTGCTGTATTGATTCTGCTCTTTCAGGACAAGTACAAAAAGCTGAAAAAGGCAGTTGAACGTGTCCGGTCATGAATTCGTCCCTGAAAATGATATGGTCTCCATGTGCTGGTTTATGAAACGGATACTGATCACCCAAGGCATAGACGATACAAAAGTACAGTTTGGCTATTCTTTCTGTATCTGGTTTTTTCCTAATAATGAGCTTAATGATTCGAAATAGTTCAAGTAGATCCTCATCCGTTAAAATGTCCTCTGCCTGGGGAATAAAGTGTTTCTGTGGCTGTTGTTCTTGAACACATGGCGAGTTCATGGCAAAGTAGGAAAAAAAGAAAGGTAAAACTTTTTTAATGCTCTGAGTTCAAAAGAGAGGAAACGAGGGGACTTTTTGAGCAGTAAAGAGATAACAGTGTTGTGTGTTACGAGTAAAAAAGATAGTATTTCTAGACAAATCAAAATCAACTTTCAAGTGATTAGATTACCTTTTTTGGATAAAATTAAATAGAAATTCAGACAATAGACATTGATATTTTAGACGTTTGATCTGTACAATGATCCTATCCTTTAGTAAGGATACCTTGTTTACGGTGGCTAATCTTTGACAAGCCAATTCTACCTGTTTGTACTGTTTCTCTTGGATTCTATTGTAACAGCGCTAATATATGAATGAGAAATACCAGTCTATAATGGTTTTTTCTGGTAATGTTGTCAAGTCGGATGGGTTCTCTCTACGATTTCTTCAACAAAAGAAGAACGCGTGAAGCAGGGATTGGCACATTTTCCTATATAGAATAAATATCAAATAAAGCTGGTAAATTTGAATCTCTTTCTTCGACAACACGTTTAAGAATTTCATTCTCGAAAAGAAACTATCAGTTCTCGATAAAAGAAAGCCTGAAGAAGGAAACGTAGATAATCCGTTTAAAGGTAAAAGATAATAATCAATTCAAGTAAGTCTATATTACTTATAGCGTAATTTTTATATAGATATGATATGTGAGGATTGTCAAGAGAGAGGACACGCGAATAACAAGTATTACAAATGTAAATTTTATAAGGAAGCTTCAGTTGATGATGGTGTTTCACTTGCGTCTTTCATATTGAAATATTTACTATGCTAATGATATTTCTATTGTTAGTTGGAACATCTAGTGGAACAAAAAGAAAGCAAAGCTCAAGTCTCAAGCAAGCTAAACAGCAAGCCAAACGACAAATGGAGGGCACAAACTCAACAGTAATTTGCAAAAGCTATCAACAAATTGGTCACAGTACGTCACGTTCCCGTTTATGTCCCAACTACAATCTCGCAAAGAATGAAATGCTTGCAAGAAGCCTTGGATTTCCGTATATAGCTTTCACTAGAAAGCTTCCGTTGAACTCTATTGTCAAGTGTGATTACAAAGAGATACTCAAAAACAAGATTATTGTCAGTTCGAGAGACATCCGCAACATCGTATCCAGGCCAATACTGTTGACTAATAGCTACTGTTTGTCGAAATCCCATGATTCCATACCTCACGCTATTTTCACACAACAATATTGGTACTCAGTGCGCCAACTGGTCAATGGAAAGAAAATAACGAATACCGCCAATACACCATCAGACCTTATATAATACTAGGATACTTTCAAAGACACAAATCCAAATGCTGTGTATCAGCAAAAATTGATAAAGGAGGCCAGCCAATGTCTCACCAAAGCCTGCAAAGAGCTGGAGACGTGCTACAACAACCATATTGTTGAGAATTTTGAACAACGATTGCTGTATTTTTTAAAAATGGAAAACTAGAATCATACTTTTCTCATATGTAGAACGTACATCTGAATGACATTTTTGACATTTCGGCTAAATATTGGTATCAGTTCGTTTGTGGCGGGGAGCCGCATTGGCCAAGTTGTGCGACATGACTGCAGGAACACCAAAAAGCATTAATTACTAATCTTTGTCAGTCGCTCAATGTACTACTCCCAAACAAAGTTACTTTACAAACTCTCAGTCGCAAACCAGAATAACACATACGTGTTCTTTGTCAAATCTTATCCGAATACGAGGTTGAACATCGAAACCACAAACCCTATGATGTGCGCCGACTCCCATTGCCACAGCTATTTGGAGTATTTCTGAAGCCATCCTTGCATTTCAGATCAATCGCCATTAGTTCAAACGCGTTGGCATCATTTGTATCCCGATCAAGACCAGAAGGGTATGATAATCAGTTCTCATTCTTTGAAAGTGTGATAAATTTTGCTGCCTTCAGATATAAAAGGTATTATAGATCGTTGTCAAAAATGTTGACATCTTATCAGGAAACCATTAATCTTTTATTTTTATTTTAGCGACGACCTTGAACCATGCGGAAACAACTACACCATGTTTGGCAACATATTTAAATCGAACGGCTTCTGTGTTGGCTGTCTATTTTACAAAAGATCAACCAAGCGTGCAACAATGAACGAAGTAGATCTTGAGCTCAAACTACATGACTTCGATATCAACAAAGTACAAAACAGCTACAGGACGCTTTTTATTGATCCTGGGAGAAAGACTGTTTTCACAGCGGCAGAGAGTGTAAGCACAAAAGCTCATAGTCTATTGCGTTGTACCATCCGTGAATGTTATCACATGACCGGATCTACGAGATACCAGGCTGACCAGAGACGACAGAAAAAAGAAATTCGAACTGAATCAATTGAAAGTGAGATGCCATCCCACAAGACAACTTCCTACCAATTATATACTGTCTATGTTCAGTATATCCTCAGTCATTTGAATACGCTATTTAATTTTTATCGTAGCGACACTGCAAAATTTCAATTTTTTCTGTATCAAGGTCGACAGAGAGCGGCCGGTAAAATGGTTAATATTCTTCTTACTGGGGACGCAAAGTATAACAGAAGACGAAGCAAAAAGAAGAAAAAGAACAAGAAGAAGAAGAAAGCTGCCCCAAGGCTACAACCAATGTGCCGACAAAGTAAGCAACTAATATTTTTTTTGTTGATGATATTTACTTTTTTTTTTTTGAAAGACCGAATAAATGGAAACCTTGTCATATATGGAAAATAACAGAAAGGTACCGTTGGTTGTCTTTGGGGACGGAATGTTTGGGAAGGACTTAGTCAAGCTAAGAGGTAACCGCTGTGGGGTAACAGGGAAGTTGTGGAAGGCCCTTAAAAAGCGGGAAAGAGAGGGTGGCCTTATTACTGTCACCATCGATGAATTCAATACCTCCAAGGCTTGCAATAATTGCCAAATGATTACTCTTAAACCTGCAATACATTGTGGCAGCGAGGCGTGAATGCTGCAAAAAATACGATGGCAATCTCTTTAGCAATTTGGACAGGAAATGGCTGACCCACTGTTTTTGAAAGACCAAAAACAAGCAACAGCAACAGCAAAAAATTGTCAATCACTGTAGCGTAAACAGTTTGTCTATAATTAGACATTTAGATAATTACAGGTAAATATCTGAATACGAGTTTTGCTTTGTCTGAAAAACTAATTCCTTTTTTGTCTGAATTCCTATTTAATTTTATCGTCTGAAATTAAAGTATGCAAGTTCTTTGTTTAGAGGGTATAATATATACTAGGAGTAAATGTCTAAACTCCAGAAGGAGAACCGTGTTCGATACGGTGACAAAATGCTTGAGGTCTGCCACATCCACGAAGGATGCCATTGGCGATCTTGAAAATATTTTTTGAAGCGTTTATATCCCGTTGCCAAAGCAATCCACATCCTGTGCAGGATTGGATGCCGTGGAAGTTTACAAAAGCAGATGTGAACGCCATATTTTCACAAGAGTTGCA